AATATAGGAAAATTTGTACATATTATAATAAAACCAAATTTTAATGTACATATAAAAGGGTTGAAAAACAATACTTTTGCTTTTTATTCTAAAAATAAAAAATAAATATATCAGGACGATATTTTAGACAAGTGACATTACTGTGTGCTTAACAAATTTGACATTTTTCGAAGTGTTCCGATTGCGGTTAAACGCGGAGAAAACAAACGCATCCCGAGACAAATGTATCTAACCTTCGACGTTTTTGCCCAACACGGCAACACACATGACATTTCAACCATTAGCGATATGTGTGCCTAGTTCTTCGAGAATCTGCAGCAACCGGTTGATGGTGGTCGGGTGTTCCCGCTGTCTGTCCGGAATTTGTTGCCGGAAGTGGTAGCGCACCGAATAACGACACTTGATTGACGGTGGTCGATAAGATGGAAGCACAGACGGCGACTGTGAATGTACGGGGACCAGCGAGAGGCGCTTAAAATATAACGAATGTTGGTTCCGATCTGTTCGAATGCGGACAGCGTGGAAGGACTTTAGACGTCGAGTAAATGGCCAACCGGCCACCAGGACCTTATTTGCAATTCCTGCAGCCGACATGAAGAGTGTCCTGGAAAACGAGGGCAAGAAACCAAACTATTAGGTGACCTCAAACACCTGTAGGCACGGGATGCGCGACGACATGGATTGGCCATCTCCTTCTCGTCAAAATGTAAAAAAACTGAACTAAAAAGGTTTTCGACAAAAAAAAAAAAACATTATTCGTTAAAAGTATCTTATACAATTCTTTATTTGGTGTCAATTTTAATATTTTATTCTATTGCAGCATAGACCGACTGTATAGCTATCTACCTAACCAGTTTTAGGATATACTCAAAAATAATACAATATAATATATTTTACAAACATCTTTGCTACATTCAATAATATAATATAATACTTCAAACTATTTTGGTGTACATAATATAGTATAATATAGGTAACCATTATTAATAATAGTCATTTATTAAACTATAGTATAAATATTGATGATTTTGACATTCCGATGGGTTAGTCAAACACAGTAAAAATGAAATGTAATAGCTTTGCTATCTAGAATAGGAGTGTGACCTCGTCATTGAATAGAATTCTGGAATGGATGAGTTAAATTTGATTTAAACAATAAACGGTATAGATACTAAAAAACCATTCGAAGCGAAAACCTCCATTTTGGCATCCATTTCTAAGGATATTTTATTATACATTAGACTGTATGCGATTTATCAATACGGTACGATGATCCAATATATACTGAAAATAGTATATTATCCTAATATTACATCATGACAACATAGATATTAGTGATTACGTCTTGTAGATTCATGTGAATAGATTCGATTTATAAACAATTTGAAATAATAAGTCTGAATATTGTGAAACTTCCATTGTATTTGGAAAATAATAATGCTTATTATGACGAACATTTTTTAATTCTCTCTAGTTAAAATATGTATTTATTTATGTAGTTAACTATATTCAGATGGAAAAAATAGTTTTATAAGAAACCTTCTTTGTAGGTTTGAATATCCAATTTTACCAAAATTTGAACTTTAAATGCCAAAAAAATGAGATTCAAAAAAATGTATAGTAATAACTAATAAGTGTATAAGTATTTAATAAGTGGTTTATTGGAATATTAATTTAATAAGATGGAAATATACGTATACACATTTGAAACGATAAAAATCTCTGTACAATTTACTTATTTACATTAAAAATTTAAAAAAATATTAAAGCTAAATAATTATGTTATGGCGGTCTTATATACGGTGCAAAAATTAAAGTTCTGATAAAAATTTGAAACAATCGATGAATTTATGAAATATTTACCTAATTAAATGATATCGGGAATTACATAACTCAAAACTCCGTTAGTATAGGCAACACAACTTACAGGGATCTTTTGCATTTTTCCATCAACTAATAATAATAGGACACTGTTGCAAGAAAAAAGCATTTATATTATATTATTATTTTTGTTGCTGATATTAATTTATATTATATAATAATACATTTTGAAGGAAAGTATATGATGAGGGATGACTGATACGGATAATGCATGATTAACAAGTGCCATCAGTACCCATGCACAATAGTGACACTTTTCTTGTTTTTTACTTTTTTATTAAACAATTAAAATAAATTAAATTATGTTTCCTGGAATTGAAATTGTAAATAAGTCGCGTTTATCGTAAGAAGAAGAAATCGTAGTTCGTTTGACAAAAGAAAAAAACCACGAATCTTGTACCAGTCTTATATTAATTCAATGGTACCTAATACCTATACAGTATTATAGTGTACATACCAACTGTCAGCTAATCATGTATAGAAGTTGAGTAAACACACCCTTACCACAAGTAAATATTGTTTCAATAGTATTTCGAGTTGAAATCGATTTAGGCTTAACTTTTCTAAACTAAATGTTTTTTTTACATATTTGAACATATGAAAAAAAAATGTAACATGATAAACAAATTTATTTTCATAACAATCATTTTTTTTTTTAAGGAAATAATTATCATTTGCGAAGGTGTGTTAGGTTGAAGTACAGTGTGCTCTGGATAATTGACCAACAAATTTTCCAATTTATTATTGAACTGGTTTTATTCAACCGAATAGATATTTAAATCATATGCATACGACACATAATAAGTTAAAATATATAAAGTAATTTCTTCTTTAAACGATATTTGTAATATATTGAAGTCAAGTGTTACTACACAACAATACAATAAAATTAAAAAATTAAATCTCTGACAGTACGTTGATAATACAATTTTCCGATGGTTGACTGTTTCAACAAAATGCTCCTACATAATAATATAAAACAATGTAACACGGATATTTACAATTCGCAAAATAAATAAAAATGTAATACTTATATTCATAAAATATCGTTCACGTTAATTTTTAAAGCGTATCCTTTGTAAAATATTATGCGACATTAATAATATGTTATCTGACCCGCATTTCGGTTCATCCAAATTAAATATTGACTAAATACCTACGTTTTGTTTGAGGGGAACCAGAAAAAAAAAACACGCTACTCGTGACTCGACTTTCCCGTTCAATCCCAGTATAAAGTTTATATTTTGGTGATAGTCTAACGCTATTATTATTTGACTAACAATGTGTGCCGTTCGTGTGTGAGTCGGGTCGAGGGTCCGGATCGATTTTAAATTTTTCGTTCGGGTTTTTTTTGTACCAATCGTTAGAAATGCGGAATCCTATGATATTATGGTTGTGTCTCGTGGCGTCAACATTTAAGTCGTCGGTGGAATACGATGGCTTGATAGACGCGTTGACCAGAGTGTTTGCACACAAACACGTGCAAACCGTAACGGCCACCACATGCTGGCCAACAGGTGGCATTATTTTTTTATTTTTGTTTTTTAGCCGCAGTCGTTTTTGAAAATCGATAACAAAAACTGTACTATTATTTACGTGCATGTCCCCAATCCCACCCCATCAAAATGTTGACAATTTTTATCGAGTCGATGCAAGACAATTTACACAATCTACGAGCCTTTTGTTGAATAGTACAACAAAAAAAAAAACCAAAGATTGGAGATGCGTTGAAACACCATTTTGATTGGGAGGGGTTCGGGACATGTACGTTTATTATTAGTTAGTACCTACGTGCCTATTTTACACATGACATTCCTCAGACGCAAACAGTCGACTACTGTCGGCACTGTCATCGGCCGACATATCGGTGAATTTCCGTGAGTCCGTGATTCCAGTGCACAAAACATGGTACAGATGTGGGATTCTGGTCGACGTGTCTTGTGTTCAGATCCCGAAAACGCTATTTCGAAAGGTATAGTTCTGCTGTTATATTGTAATTTCGCCATTATACATTACCCCTTATTTGGGTACTATAAGTACTGCTTATTTATTACTTTTTATCGGCCTTTTTTTTAACGATGGATAGCCGAGATGTGTTTTTAGTATTTTCACGTTCCATCGTTGCGGTATCGTTTCTTCAGATGTTGTATCTACTCTACCGGCTACTAGTTCATACTAATTACTTATCGATTCTGCTAAGCCTTTGATTAAATATAATATTTAAATATTTAAAACTATGAGCTTTCTGTGTTTGTATAGTTGGTTCGTTGCTTAAAGTTTTTTTATCAAATAAATTATACTAATTATGTTCTAAATTCATTGTAAAACTCACCTATACCTAAATTATGCATGATATTATTAATACATAATTGTCATTGTATAGATACAAATTAAAATATTAAATTTAATAATTTAATATTTTAATTTGTATCGTTAATTATTTATGTTAATAAACAAAATATCCAAGCAGTCTAAAATTGGTTTCTACAATTTTTAGAAATTTAAGACTAGGAAGGTGGAGGAATCGATATGTAGGTGGGTTACCAACAATGAACAGCTAGTAGGTACAGCCGAAAAATTCTATAAATATTTATAGTTATAGGTTCATATTATATACGCGCAGGTGTTCTACAAGCAAGAATCAATGTCCTGTGGTATAGGTAAAATTTTTTCAAAACTTGATGTTTTTGGGGTACCAATGAAATTAGATGAAATTAAATCGATGAATTTATTATATACATATAACAATAATAAATAAATTGATATTATTGTTAACTATTAAGAGGACGTAACACTGTCATTTACTGTCTCCGTCTTACAAGTGCGAACACGGCAAATGTACGCTCAGTAGATCACGTGTAGCTTCGTCGAAAGTCGCTCTGCGGTTCATTTTTTCTAAGCTTAAAGAGCTCGATAGTTATTTTTAGAAAATCACATCATAATCTGAGGACAACCCATTCACGTCACTATGAGCCATATTGAAAAAAAAAAATAATAATAATGAGTAAACGAATGACAATAGCGGCCTACGAATAATATTATATGAAATGCGCTCGCAGGCTTCGAAACACGGACTTTTTAACATGCAAAATGATTGGATACTAATAAACTCACGGCGAAACGAAAGTCACGTGATGGACACGTCGGCGATTGCACTCGAGACGTTCGAAAGGCATTTAGGTGAGGAGTACGTTTTGCCGGAATCAAATGTGTTCTTGTTGATCGACACCGCCGGTGGGTGGGAAATATGGGAGGGTTTCAAAGTCGGTAAAACGGAGAGAATCCAAGTGAACAGACACGGCGTGGTGACGAGCGACGGACTTTATTTTGAAAAAAATGACTCCATCTCGTTCAAGTCCAACCTACGAGGTACCACGTTGAAGGCGATCACCGTGGTGAGTAGATACGGTTTTATAATATGTTTTCTGTAAGTATTAAGAAGTAGGCACGTGAACCAAAACAAATCAATACACATATAGATTAAACGTAATATTGAACATAACAACGTCACTCACAATATTATACAGGGAATGTTACCTCTGGCTTAGGTATTTATTTTTTTTTGAAAACTATTCAACCGTGTATTTTAACATAATATTTAGTGTCATCGTTTTGTGGTAAAAATGATAGCTAAGGTTTTACGTGAAACCATACAAAAACCGTTATATTTTTCTATCAAGAGTGTGAAATCGTTGTCTTACTCATTTGGAAGGGTATTACGGGCCATGTACAGTTCCTTAATTTTCCGGATAATATTGAGTTTTTATTATTTTAAATAAAGTATTTTCATAAATGTTTAAATTTGACCTATATTGACCAGATAGCAAGACATAATTTACATTAAAAAAAACCCGTAGGTGTAAAAATAAATCCTGTACGTGGGTTGTTATTGTTGACGAATAATAATAAAAACTGAAATAATAAGATCGTGACACGCATGCACGTATAAGACACTTATAGATTAAATCACTTATCGGACATTTCTCGGGGAGGGCCGCCCGCAGCCACTACCATAATTACACCACTGACGTTTATTATTATATAGTTTTGTCACCATTATTCGTTAGATCTCGGAACCAAGCAAATTCAAAGGGTTCTATCCATTTGCTGACACCGACCTAGATACATTCGCTCATATGCACTACGATTTGAACGTGATACTACAGGATCAACTTAATTTTAAGTAAGCAAAACTTTTACTACACGCCGAATATACACAGTCAAGTCTTGTAGAAATTATTATTTTTCAATGTCAACTTAAAGGCAACGTTTTCTGTGTTCGTGGCTTGATTTAACCAATACGACCCAACGCCCTATGCTCTGCTCGATTGTTTTCATTAAAATTACCACCTCTGAAACCGTTAATTACTATACGTAATATTACAAGCATGAGAAATACGAGTAAAAACGTATTTGTTTGATAATTTAATAAGCTCAATAGTTTAATAAGGTTTAAATATTTACCGTTTGAAAATCAAAATGTGTTACTCCCAAACATTTTGGAGATTGAGTAAAATCATAAACAAAATATTATATACATGCAATGACATTACAATATTACACGCAAATAATGTTCACAGTAGTGTTATAATATTTTGTTCGTGTGAATAGAATAGATCTAGGTATCGTCAATAGTTTTGGCTGGGATTTGGGAAACGGTTCGTTTAGTGGGCTGACGGGTCAACTGCAAAGAGGAGAATGCGATTTCAGCGGCATCGGCGTATTCATGAGAAACGATCGAATGTCAGTGATCGACTACACAGTGGGGACGTTTTATAGACAGTAAGAGATCGCTCGTGATTGTCTCAACAATAATATTATATTACCGTATTTACATAAAAAAAACCCGAGATATCGTGTGATTGCAGTTACATCGTTTAATTTTTTTTTTTTATTGAAGAGGGGCGGCGTTGTTCAAACAACCGCCACTGTCCAGTGTCCACAACATTTGCATTCTACCGTTCAAGTTCGAAGTGTGGATGGTGACGCTTTTCACGTTCATCGGATTCACGATCCTCATCGCTTTTTTGTCCAGGACGACCCGAACGTTCAAGAAGGACGACGAGGAGACGCTAAACGTTTTAGACTCTGTTACGATCGTGCACGGAGCAATTTGCCAACAAGGTATGTTATTATTATAGCCCGACGTGTAATTGTATAATATTATATTATGTTACCGCAATATAGTCCTGGCCGGGGGTCCTAGCAACAGGATGACATGTTATAATATAACAGTGGTCAACTAATTACCGTACTCGAGGTTGTGACGCCAAGCGGCTATTATCTTACCTGTACCTGCCCGTTTGTGAAAAGATTTTTCGTGTTGTTATACTTGCACGCGTGTCTTACGACTGTGTGAGTGGAACGTTAGACCGCCGAGGCTCGGTCGAGATTGTTTTGCAAAGCCATAAACAGCACGGTTCATTAAGATCATCACACTTAACACAAACCTTACCCCCTATACTACCTATTTTAAATTTTTCTTCCGTACCCCTAAGCTAGATTGTAGGTCTCATTATAAATTTTAAACTTTTTCACACAACTACTCTTAAAATGTTTCAATAAAAAATAAAAATAATTAATATAATGTAATAACGTACATATTTCCATATATTTTGTAGGACAAGTCGATGTTTAAGTTTTTATTGGCAACAACTGAATATGCTATTGAAACTCCCGAAACGAATCGTTATAAATAAAACAAATTCAATATGTTTCACCCAATTTGTTTCGCTTATCCCAGGTTAGAAATCACTGCCTCATAATTTCTATTATGTATCTGTTATCTTAACCTTTTTGCCGCTCTCCCCTACCCCGTGCACTCGTTCTTAAGTATCTGCGATTCTCATTATCCGAAACGTCATCGTGAAAAATAATAAGGTTAGGACAGGTTATTATAATATTGCACAACATCATAATAAGGTTAGGTTGGGTAACTACAACATGATACGACATCATTGTAAGGTAAGGTTAGGTTATTATAATATGACACGAAATGAAACACACGTTTGGTTTTCTTTTCACACATGGTTTTTTTTCTCTTTTTTTTTCTTTGACAGGCTACACGGTGAATCTGAACGCGGGGTCCATACGGGTCGCCATTTTCGTGCTGTTTTTGACTGCGGTGTTTCTGTTCACGTCGTACTCGGCCAGCATCGTCGCATTGCTCCAGTCGCCCAGCAATTCGATAAAGACCATTAACGATTTGGTGGAATCGTCGATGACGTTTAGCGCACAAGACAACCCGTACAACGGCGTATACTTCGGTGTAAGTGTATTACGTTTTACCAATGCTTGATTCGAAAAAAAAAAATTAGTAGTTGGACTCAGTCCCACACAGAATCAACAGTCACATTGTCTGTGGGGACAACCCCCCCCCCCCTTCCTAGCAACGGTCACGCCAAAATGATATTAAATTTGTTCTGCAAATATACACAAGAAGAAAAAGAAAGAACACTTATTTATTCATTATTTTTAAAAAGTAGCATAAAATTGGTAAATTATAAATAAATTATGCGTTGAACAATAGGTCAACATAAATTTTGATATAAACTTCCTTGTATATAATACAATTTCTTATCGCTGTACTTTATAGTTATTAGATTTTTTAACAGTTAATTTTTTTTTGTATTTTTGTATCTTTTTATACGAGCATAATATAGTAGGTATTTACAAAGGACCGGCACACACTGATAAGTGATGTTCTCCAAACGTATAGGTAATAATACCATCATGCGTCCTTACCAAGTGCATTTATACTGACTGTCATTGTCAGGCTTGTGAATTTAAAAATTTTGTTTGATGTAAACGAATTTTATGCTGAAACAAAAATGAATGAGATACAACATTAATTCAAGCCACTACTGATCTAAATGTGAAATTTTATTTCACCTGCATTGACGTTAGTGCATGATATAATATTACTATCACCAACTTTGCTCTAAGTTGTATGCAAATTTTTTTTTTGGAGGGGGGATGAATGACTTAGCTTTTTATATCAATACATATAAAATCAAAATTGTTCAAAAATATAATATTTAGACCTGAACTCCTCTTAAACTTTCAAAGTCCTATACAGTACGTGAAATCTAACCGACTGAATATATTTCACTGAGGGAAATTGAATTTCCATTTTCCAGGTTAAAAAATTTAAAATAAAACATTTGAAAACGTTAATGTAATTTATTTAATTTTTTAAATATCAAGAGTAAAAACTTTTATCAGTACTTATAATAATTATTATCATTTTTCTAGATTTATTTTATATTACAATATAATTATGGAATTATACTAAATTCTGAAAAATGTAATAATTATTTAATTTGACTCTATATTATCTTCTGGGCTTTGTATGCTTTTGTATTTTCCTATATATCAAATCAATAACATTTTAAATTTATACATAACTACATTTTTAGATTAAAATTGCTATCAGTTTTATGGTGTTTTTAACCATGCAATTATTTAAATTAATTTTACCCACGTAAAGCATGTTTGTGTATCCTCACGACTCACGAGTGTGATTTAATTATCTAGGAAACGGAAGATCCACTCTTACGGAAACTTTATGATACGAAAATGAAATCTCACGGAACTCAAAAATTTACATTGGCTTCGACAGGCATAGCTAGAGTTCGAACAGAGTTTCATGCGTTTATGGTCAGTTGAGTCGTATTACAATACAGCAATATAGGTGTAAGCTTATTTGAACTACTATTTACTTGGTATTATCTATTCAAGATTGATTTCGTTTCGGCGTACAAGTTGATTAGCCAATTGTGGCGAGAAGAAGAAAAATGTGGTTTATCGGAGATTCAACTTTTTAAGTTGCCAATGCTAGCATTAGCGGTGGTTAAACGGTCTGGATACAAAGATATTTTAAAACAAAAGTAAGTCGTAAGGGACTACCATTGTAATTATAACACTCCAATAAAGTTTAAACCGCAACAACAGTATGTGGTGTATAGCATTCATATACTTTTATATAAATGTGCATTGCGTTTTAAAATTTATTTCCACCTTATATTATACGCTTATACCGAAATACTATGACTAATAATAATAATTACATTTAAGATTAATACAGCAACAAGAGGTCGGACTTAAAAATCGAATCATAAGACGGTGGGTACCCGCAAAGCCGATGTGTGATTCATCAAATCGAGCCAATCAGTTTGTCAGCGTTTCTATAAAAGAAATATACCCTATGCTCCAGATATATGGGTTTGGATTATGTATTTCGATCGTAATACTGTTTTTTGAAATCGTGTACAACACTTACACTTGTCAAAGTGATGATCCGCATAGCAATACATATTTCAGTATTTTTCGTTTTATGTATAATAAACGATAGAATTTTAAGCACAAGTATTCAATAATAGTATCACACTATATTATTTTACATCATGTTCATTATTGTCAATCGTTATCCGTGCAGGATTAAGTTTTAATTGTATGACCTATATGAATTAAACTATTGAAATTTCCGTCGTTATAATTTACCATTGTAAAATGTGCCTTAATTTTGTTGATCATGTTTTTTTGAGTATACGTCCAAGGCTGTAACTGGAAAAAGATTTCGGGGACACCCGGATCCAACATTTTTATAATATAGATAGAGGAGTGGTGGTAACATTATTGGCTCAAGGCGTCTATTGGCCAATGTCTTTTCAGCCTCCTATTACAATAAACATAGTGGAACTTCGTGGAATATAGTTATAGCATAAAAGGGACAGAGAAGAATGGAGGACATTTAAGAGATGACAGGTTTTTTATGTTTTAATAATGTTCGGTTTGCTGCGAAGTATAATATTGTAAATATAACATTGTAAATATTGTAATCGCGAAATCCGCTCGGGTACCTATACGTATAGGTATGCACTATCTTTCAAATATTAAAAATAAATTATTGAGCTACTGAAGTAATATACAATTTTCAAGAAAAATAATTAACGCAGCTCGAGATAAACAATTTAAAGAAAACCCATTTTTTATTTTGATTATTAATTAAGCCGTCGAAAAATAGGTCATTGGGTGGAGGTTATTATAAGTTGTTTTTATACTAGGGGGAGGGGGTTGGTTTGAACATGTGTATGTGTGGCGAGTATTCGTCACTAAAAACCCGGGTGGTCATCCATCCGGGAACTAGTGACACGGGCCGATGTTGTCTACGGTTATTAGTTTTTGAGCTACACCAAAGATATAAAATTGATTTTTTTCACTTTTTTGTTTTGTTTTTGAAGACTCTCTCAAAACCTAGTTGAGATTTTCAATTTCGACCTTTCAAAAGTACCCACTAGATCCACTTTTCTATTAGAAAATATGCTAATTTTGAGATTGGGAACCTTTTTACTATCCCAAATACTGATGACGGACCGAAAAAAATAAAATCTTAATTAAAATAATTATTTTTTTTTAACTATTGACTTAAATTATTCATACAGGCATACTAGAATGACACAACGTCTAGGCTTAAAATCGTTTTTCGTTTGCAATGGTTTATCACATCCATTACAAAGACATGCTCGAAAACTACTGTACAGCAGAGCGGTATCCACTTAAATTATTGTTACAGAAATGTTAATACTCGGAGCTTTCGTTAGGTTAATTAAGTTAACCTAAAAATTAAAAGAAGGAAGGAAGGATATCTTGGAAGATATTTACATTTAATTTACTGTCTACTACCAAGTAAAACTTAAGTTTTTCCAAATTCAAAAATAAAATTTTGTAAATTTCACTTAAGGCAATCGTGGTTTCAGAAAGTTCAAAGTTTGGGTCTTCGAAATGAATACATGAAAAACTCTGAAATAGGGATTTGGTTGAAGTCTTTTTTTGGTTTGGCTTTCTTCCGTACACCGAAGTGTCTGATGCTTTTGCAGGTTAATGTTCATCGCGCTTGAAGATCAAACGATTTCCAAATTTAGTGATTACCTTTTAGAAACATACATAGATTCTAGTCTATTTATACCTACAATTTGGACTGAAACTCCGGATAATGAGGTTATACGAACTACAAATGCAGCTGAGTCATATCATCGATATTTAAAAGACCAATTTTATGTGGCTCATTGTTCCGTTCATATATTAATGAATGTAGTATATTACAATTACAAAGCGAAACATATTTATTTAAAAAAATTAACCAATTTATTATTGAAATTTTTTTTATAAAATCTCAACTGATTTATTAAATTTATATTGATTTGCATGTATATCATAATTTATGATTTATTAATTTTATAATTTTTATAAGACACCAATTTTCAAATAACTAATTATATAAAAAAATATTAATTTAATATGGTATACATACAATGTCATTTTTATAAGATATATCAATTTTGAAATAACTACTTACATAAAATATTAATTTTGGGGTAAATGATATGTCATTTTTGCACCTTTGGCGCTTATGTCATATAGCCGATCAGCGCATCCTAAACGGCTCCCATCGAAAAAGGTTATATGAACAGGTAAATTACCAAACGGCTGACGATATTACCGGGGTACCGATGTACCTTATACCGCTGTGTAATTTAATTTTAACCGAAAATATCTGACATACTAATAATATCGAAAATACCAAACATTGAACACATAATATTATCCATACCAAAATTAATTATATATATATTATAAGTAGATACTCGTACTCAGTGAGCTTCATAATCGCAAAAATTTATAGAGCAGATATAATAAGACAAAACGGAAGAATAGAGATTGTATATATGTCGATGGCACGTTTAAGTGTTGTCCAATTTTTTATCAAATGTTTACCATGCATGTTTTACATAACGGATACTATCTTCCCCTGACTTACTGTTTTTTGCCAGATAAAACAGCAGTTTCCAATGGAAAAGCTTATTCAGCGTTGTGCGATTACATTGATCCACAAGTTGTTTCCGCAAATTTTGAAGAGGCTATTCACGTTGCACTAAGAAAAACATGGCCGTCGGTAAACATAAGGGATTGTAAATTCTATTTGGGTCAAATTTGGTGGCGGAAGATACAGTCTTTGGGACTTGCATCAGAATTCAGAAACAAAGATTCTGAGATTGGAAAATCGCTAAAACATTTATTTGGCCTTCCTTACCTGCCGCAGGCGGATATCTTGAATTATTTCACAAACAATTTAATGACAATCAACTGAGTTGACTTTTTTGTAAAACGGAAGCCGTTTGGGAAAAAAAGGAAACCAAATGGGTTACGCCCAATACGATTATTCCCGTACACAATCGTCACCAACGAGGGTTAGATAATAACTTGAGATAACCACTTTATCATAATTACTACGGATTATTTATAGCTCTAAGAAAACATCAGATATGCAAGCACGTATTCAATTAATAATTTTAAAATATGCTCTTCGATTTTTTAAGAATTAATTAATAAATATTAATAAAATAAGAAAATACAGTTCGCCATTATAAATTTCATACTATTCCCTAGTAAAAAAAAACATTTTTGAGCTATCTAAATGGAACTAACTTTGTTTTTATTGATTAGGAAGGCTCAATTCCATTGATTGATTGATTGATTATGAAAGTAATTGATTTGTTAATTGATAAGTCATATGTCCTTCGGTTAGTGGTGTGCTTGTTTACACGTGGCATTGCGTGGGCACCTTTAAATTATATAATAATGGGTTGTTATTTTGACAGTAAATGTTATGAAAACAATTTTGCAAAAAAAGCCCAAAAATAAAAAATATGCCTTAAAAAGCAAAAATAAATAAACATTCACAAATATGAAACATAAAACTTATAGATTTGGTTTTGTTGAAACATGAAATAGATTTTTATGTAATTGGCCTTTGTTTACAATAGCGAAAAACAAATATACAAATATTAAAAGCCCTCTGTGTCCTACGACTTTATTATTTAGACTGAAACCAAAACAGAATATTATAACATTTGGTTATACGAATCAATTAGGTTTTTTGAATATTGAGAATATTTCCAGGTAACCTAGTTTGCAAAAACAAATACGTGAAATAATGATGTGTTTTTCGCCAACAATTTATGGAATTAGATGTGTGGACATATTATCGATGGAAATGTTATACTGACAAGTAGAAACGTTAAATATCAAAAAATATTCATGGACGAAGGTTTATTGTAACTTATAATTTTAGTAAAATCGAAATAGGAAATTAACGAACGATAATATGCTCAAAGTCAGTGTTACTCACATAATATTATTTTTTATTTTTATTATTCAATTTTCGTATCAAGAAGAAGTTCACGAACACAGTGGTTTAATAAAAGTTATATCGAACTTTTTTATCCAAAGACGTGTCCAAACTGTCACCGCTGTTACATGTTGGCCTACAGGTAATTATGATTATTAAAATCGACTACGATTCACATTTGAGTGGATCAATATTATTGAATAAAATACGTTAAAATCGTTCAATCATATTTGATAGATGTAAATGAAGAACTATTAAAGACATTTTCGACGATCGACAAATCGTTGAGTTTTTGTTTATTCGCCCCTCGGACACACGACACGTGGTATAGACATGGATTCATAGTTGATTTGTCTTGTGATGGGACGCTAAGCTTCTTGCATAAGGTTTTTACCCACATATATATTTTGTATTATAAAATAAATGCATAACATAGCTCGAACACGTTAAATTGATATTTGTTAATTGTAAATTAAGTATAATACTATTATAATATATTGATAAAATATGTTATTAATTCCTGGTTGAGTTATGTGTAGGTTTGGAACACCCGAAAATTCCCGGTTATAAAATCAGTAAAGAAAAATCTTTATACTCAAAATTAAAATTGTATTATAAAATCGTGTACTATATAGTAGTTTAGTTGTTTGTCATTGTGAACAGTTACACAATTTTTAGCAGAAACGAGTTATTTTGTTCACAATAATAAATACGTATATTATAATATATACTGATCAACTACTGATCAAAACTTTTAAAGTGATTTTAAGATTCTGAGGAGAGTGGAGAAACTAAAAAAAAGTCACACAATAGTTTGGTTGGTTATAAATTGTAATCGTAACTCTCAGACCATTAACAAATTGTTCGTCTAGACCCCATCCCAGTTTTATTCGATATTATATATTATATTGTTATCATGGATGCCGACGTGCGGTTATATTATGTTTTACCAAGAGTTGCATATATTTTGGATGTGGGGTTATGTAGACGAGGGCCCTCAGACTTTCAAAAGTTGTCGCGGTGTCAAAAACAATAATCGGGACTTTCATAATTCATTGATCAAAATTCATTAATATAATTTTTATTTAACAGTGATATTTTGAGCGTACAAAATTGTTTTTACACACTTGAACTAATCGAACTTAATAAGTTATTGTTAATTTTGTTATAATAATTATTATTATGCAGTATTACTTAGTTTGTTTTTGACATATTATATTAAAATACATTATGTTGTTGTTTAATCATTACCTGTTCTAAGTACTATCTAAAACATTTTTATTTTTTAATATCTATTAATTAATGATGAATCAAATTTTAAAAGGCAGATTTATTTTATAAATACTATTTAATTTAAATAATATTATTGCTAACAATTATGAAATATTTGTTCATTCATTGCTTATTTATGGTTTCGTATTAGTATAATAAAAAATCAGAGCATTTTATTAATCAATTCCAAAACTATAGCATTGATTCAGCTGTACAGATTCATGTCAAAATTGAAACTTAATGTTTGGTTTAAATGACCTAACATAAAGTGGTTTTTTTTTTATAATTGAAATACTCAATAGAATTTTTATTTCTTATTATTTTTTTTTGTCAAACATTATTACTAGTATTGTAATAGTCTATAATTGGCAACCGCAATTTTTGTTTTGTTTCTAAGAATCCCCACATAATTCCGAACATTTTCTATTCCTAGTTATGTATTTTTTTAATTATAAAATTAATATTTTAATATTTTACGATTGTCTCGGAATTAAATCAGAATAATACAACCTTTATTTGACGACACAAGACATAATTGTAGAGTAAATTTTAATTTCCTTAAAAAACATTTTAAAGATAAACAAGCAAAAATCTACCTGAATCATAAAAACATTTAAATATTTATAGTGACTCTATGGATAAAATAACTGTTAAAAGCTTAAAAATGAGTACATATTATGTGAATTCGTTATCTTTGATGATGATTATTAATAATTATTGTTTAGGCATCAAACAATCGATTATTCAACTTGCAAAATGACTGGTTATTGTTTAACCAAAAATCAATTTCAAATACAAATGATACGTTGACAATTGCTTCGGTTGTCTTTGAAGCATACTTCGATAATTTCTACGTTTTACCAGATTCTTGTGTGTTCTTGTTTCAAAAAATCGGAAATAATGTCTGGGAGATTTGGAGTGGTTTCCGAGCAAGTAAATTAGATACAATTCGAGTTTTCAAAACCGGTTCGGCATCAAAATATCACATGGAAATAAACGATTCGATTGATTTAAGGACGAATTTTCGGGGAGCTACTTTAAAAGCGACTACTGTGGTGAGGATGACTCCGAGATTATTTCCACACATTATAATTCGTGACTTTTTTTTTTACATAACACGTATAATACTATAATATATATACTTCATAAATACACTTCTCACAGATTTTTAATCCGTCCGAATTTGTCGGTTTCAATCAGACAACGACTGCCGGCTTGGATGTATACACTTACATGCATTATCCAATGATTCAAATCTTAGCTTACCAACTGAACTTCAAGTAATGCAATGATATTTAATGATTGTTTATAGATTGATTTTATTTTTTTTTATTTTTTCACTGTTAGTTATACCATTAGTATAACCGATGATCACGGCTGGTCTCTCGGCAATGGTTCTTTTTTCGGTTTAACTGGTATTTTGCAAAGAGAAGAAAGCGATTTTGGAGCTGCTGGATCGCTGATGAGACTCGACAGGATGACAGCAGTTGATTTTACAGTTGGAACAGTTTCTTTAGAGTAATATAATAATGAATTTTGTTACTGACGATAATAATTATTTGGTTTGGTTTAACATTAAACAAGAAATTAAATAATTACCTTCTACCTGATAATATCAGTTTAGTTGTTAGCAATAAATTTCTTGGTGAATATTTCTATTTATAGGTACCTATTATTATGTAACAAAAATAAGATGTTTTAAATAATTATATTACACACTTAATTTAATTGCAGGAGCAATATATTATTCAAACAACCTATGTTGTCCAGTATCACTAATATTCATATTAAACCATTTAAATATGAAGTATGGAAAATTACCCTACTAATGCTTATCGGATTCGTCTTGATTCTTCTATTTTTAAATAAATTCAAAGTAAATCGCGGATCATCGTTACCTGTGCTGGACATTATTGGATTAGTTCACGGTGCTATTTGTCAACAAGGTAAAAATTATTCGAAACATCAAATGCTATTGGTGTTCAAGAATCCTTAACTGTTATAAATGTTGGTAAAAAAAACGTTTTCAGTACAAAACATTTGTATACCTACCAGCTACTAACTAGTCACTATGAACAATCCTCCTTGCATACCAGCCCATTACCTTTGCACATACAATTTAAGATTTTATCTTTACAATTATTTCAGGTCATACAATTGTCTTAATTTTGAATTCTATAAAAATTGTAGTTTTTGTATTATTTCTAACTACTTTCTTCCTGTTCAATGCGTACTCAGCTTCAATCGTGAGTCTATTTCAGTCGACGAGCTCCTCAATAACTAACGTAAAAGATTTTCTTCAAGAAAAATCAATGACAATGAGTATACAGATTACCACATACGCAAAACCTTATTTTAACGTAAGCTTAAATCAAAATTTAACATTTTACCACTAGGATCATTACTATTATAATATATTAATTGTTTTGCTATTAAACGTCTTACATTTTATTATGATTTTATCATAGATCTCAATAAATGCGTAATGTGCTTAATCAAATTAATTTAGTAATAGGTACCTACATTCCTAAAGTATTTATACTCTAAATTGTTTAGATTATATTTTATTCTTGAATGAGAATAATTTAGTTAACGGTCTTATAATATTTTAAAACACAAAATGTGTTATAGGAAACGACCAATGAAATATTGAGAAAACTTTATGATGTGAAAATAAAACCATATAATGAAAACAGCTCCTTCACAGATGCCCCAAAGGGAATTGAAAGGATTCGCACCGAGTTTCATGGATTTATGGTCAACATTTTATATTATACTATATATCTGCATAGGAAATGGAGAAAATGTATTTATTTTTATTTTGCATAGGTCGAAAAAACATCAGCTTATCAAATCATCAATAAAAAGTGGAGAGAAGAAGAGAAATGTGGATTATATGAAATTCAGCTGTTCAAACTACCTGTTCTGGCAATACCAGTGGTTAAGAAATCTGGCCACAGGGACGTATTCAAACAAAAGTATGTTTTTGCTAATGTGATAAGTTTATGAAAATTTTGAAATTATTATTCGTCTTACTTTTATAATGTACAAAGGTTAATACAACAACACGAGGTTGGAATAAGAAAACGATTGATTCAACGATGGACGCCACAAAAGCCGACATGTGACTTTATGAAAATAAACAGAAAATACGTCAGTGTATCTATCAAAGAAATACTTCCAACAATAACGTTGTTCGGTTATGGGGTGTTGATTTCATTTATTGTATTTACGATGGAACTAGCATATCATTCCTTCAAGAACTACATCGACAATAAATTTAAAAAGAAAACCACAAAAATTAAAATCAAAAGAAAATTATTCATCAGATCAGAAATATGATAAATAATCGAACATTAATTATTCTGCATTGATAATAATAATAATAATAAACAAGATAGCAATGTTCAGATATCTCTGTAAGCTTATGGGTAAAATTTACGGATATAATGAACACCATTGGAAAAACATAATTTTTAGTTATCATTTATTTTTACAGAGTATAAATATTTTTTTAAGCAAAATTATACATAAGTACAACATAACTATTTATTATTTAACAATAACACTACGAATAGTGAAATGAATAAATTCATAATTCAAATTGACCTTAAAAATAACCACTGTAACCAGCTTGAAACATTTTTTGTACAAATTACGAATAACAAGAAAACCTATTATTAAAGAGATGTAATGAAATAACGTCATATCATCACCTCATAATATTTTTAAGAACTTACAGTTTCATTCATTGAACACATACGTCATACCGAGAACAAATATTTAAATTGAACAATCACAAAGTATTGTGTTCATTATTATGTATATTTAATTAGTGGTATCAGTGATTTTTTTTAATGCACATATACTATTACTGAGTATTCACAAGAATTGAAACTTTTCAAATTTTTAGTGACATGTTGACCTCGTGATAAATAAACTACACCTGGACAATAAATCGATATGAAAACATAATATTTTAAGGAACCCAAAGTACCATCGATCCGTCGATAAATTAACCGTCGATCCGATCAACAATCACAATAAGTCTCGCGTGACCGACCTCGACGTGGTGCAGACAAGCATCGTAGTGTATATTTTATATTACAAAATATTGAACACAATTCCTCAAATAGTATTTTTATTCATCTCGTGGATATGCAAGCCAGTGTGCAAATCGTGTGGTCATTATTGGTAACTGCATTCTAGTAATATTTTGAACATAATAATGTAATATCATTTCTCTCCAAGTAAATAAATTATTGAAACAAAACAAGTGTACTCTAATTCAATTTACTTAGCACTTATTCGTGATATCACATCTTTATAGATGCTTATAGATCTGATTTATTTTTTACACGGAGTTTCAAGAAATTGTTTTTCTTATGATATGTTTATAGCGATGAACAGAAATTATCAATTATGGTTTTTTTTTTTTGTAAATGTCTTCGAGTGTCAAGATATTTAATAATGAAATTAAGAAATGGAGTTAAAATTTTAACTGAGTCAGTTTATTTTATTTTCCATATTAACTTTAAACCTTGAGAGTTGTAGTAATTCTTCGTTAACTTTTAACTAAAGGCGATTTAATTTGCCTAACCTAACTTGTCATAGTGAATTATTTTCATTAACACGCCCAATAACCGTGTATATTAATAGTAAATGTTGACGAGTATAATTGACACGTTTTCAATTTCGAAGATGCCTGTTGGCCGAGTGACGAATTACACACAGACAAATGCAATACTTACTAATTACCTCAAGTATACATCGATACAAATATCTACATATTCAAATGAACTTTTGTAGGCCTGGCAAATATATCTAAGTGCTTCTAATCCACAATCACAACACATCACGAGGACGACGTGAATGTCGTAGTTTATCCATCTTGTGAAACATCAGATGTCACAATATTCGTGACAGTGAAAAGTGTTGTTATGTATGCAAATATTTATCTCAAACTGTACTCTGTAGTCTGTAGGCATCTCATCAATGATTACGTATCGATGTGAATGCACATTGCGCGGGTGTGTGTGTGTGTCCAGCAGGCATTTTGCTGTATGGCGGCTAGACGAAAGTATTATTATTACACTAAAATCAATACAAATTACAGCAGACGGTACGTTTCGATAACAAAACATAATATTTTCGACAATATTCTTCCAAGTCTAAGAAAAACCTTGGAATAAACAAATTCTATGTGCACCATTTACCATGTACTTGCGCACATGTGTGGTTGTGATATCTTCCATATGGATCTATATGTCCATCATGTCGAGGTTTATGATATTGTCCGGTGGGACAAACTTTACTACGTACGAGTAAATGCTCAATTCTGGTGCGTAAATTGGAAATTCATTGCACGTTAGTGCAATGACGGTTGTCCAAAATTATAACAGTGATATTTCGGTATTGTCGGATAAATCCAGCTGGTCAAACGCGAGGTAGTAGTGTCAATAATTTTGCAGGCATTTCACAGTCGCACAGAAATGTGGCACTGGTGGCACATAAGTTAAATAAAAATTACAGTAGGTACTTTTTGAATTCAATGTATTTGTTGAACCGATCCTACTTTTAAATTACTTGCAAAGTGTTGAGAACGGAGCGCCAAGCACAAGAGGTGCATAATATACTAATAACAAACCTGCAATGGTCATATCGGTGAGCCCGACGACATAAAAGATATAATATATAAGTCACCCTCACAGGTGGTCGATTGTGATATGACATTATTATTATGATACACCTGTGTACTATAGCTACACAAAACGAGATGAATTCAAAATGTTGTGTTACCTGCACCGAAACACACATAAACAATTATAATACGACCTGAGGCCCGGCACTGATATCTTGATAGATCCTACATAGATATTAGACTTTGTTTCTATTATTATTATTAATTATCACTCAGCAACACAGGCCACTGGGTGCTTTTAGCTATTTTAAGGAGTAACGGTAGCAGGGTTGTTACGGTTGTCGGGAACTCGTGTATGTGCGGCAAGGTTTTCGCCACTAAGAACCCAGATGGTCACCCATCCGGGAACTCTCAATCACGTCGAGTGACTGGTTACAGCAACCACGCCACACAGAGCCGAAGACGTTAGATTTATGCTCACTTATTGAAGTACATCTCCAGTTTGTTTTGAACGAGTGCATTGTTTTGTCTGTTGCGCCGATGTGTGGTCCCAGAATTGTTCGTACAATAATTATTGGCCTGTTAACTACATTGTCCTTAACCACAAACAAATAACATAAAATAATGCATATACTTACCATGTCATCAGGCGTATTTGTTTCGTATTACATCATTTGCACGGTGGTAAAATCTTTATGATAAACATGGCTCGGGATTAGGGGAAAAAATAAAAACCACCATTAGCAAATGAATATTTTTACAGATTTCTGATCGGCATACATTCGTCTTTACAATTAATTGCAACTATGCGTGCTGTTTTACACGGTGAAATACATCATAATTCAGGTTTATATAGTATCTGTGTAACCAACACACATTAAATAACACACTACACCCAATTAAATAATCACTTGTGAAGTACCTAGATGTAGTCAACAATGAATAATGACACTGATATGAACGCATATAAATGACATAATGGTATTATTATGTTACATGTCACAGCATAATAATAATCGCAGTCTCGGAATTTGCAATCATTTATCATATAATATTTGATATCGATGAAACTCATTATATTCGAGTATCTGCGAAACATCCTGAAACAAGAAAATCCTTTTAAAGTCAAACGCGGTTTTTAACTACTCCATTCGTAGGGGGGTCAATACGACTATACATCAAACAAGTCGTTCTATTTATTTGACGTAACCGATGTCCGATGGCGTGTTAATTATCGGAAGAGATATGACGAAGTTGTTTGTTATGATTGATTGTTAAAAACGACATCGTAGGTTGACTAGTGGATTTAAACGATTCGCAACGAAGTGAAAGTCATAATAACTTAGTTTAAGTCCCCGGATGGTCTAAACGCAGAGAGGTCGTAAATGTATTTTCCCGCCTAATTAATTATTATTTGTCACACAGACGGTATTAATTGTAAACTATAATTATAGTTTCATCATAACACTATCGATTTCTCCTCATTTTCAAGTACAAAAGTAGCCAAGATGGCATATTATATTATTATATACTTCAAATTTCAATACTTGTTTCGTATATATATAATATATAGCTGATTATTTATCGGGCGCACGTAAAACATATTAATTAGATAAATATTGTTATTAAAAATTTATTATTAAGTGTATATTATTATCGGTATGGATTTTACTGTATTATACAGAGAAGGTAAACGAAAGTAGTTATTTTATTTTCATTTTAATTGCCCATCTTAAATACTTAATATAATAATGATACACGAGAATACAAAAACCGAATAGTGAAAAATCAATTTATTCTGATAAATCAATAACCGGATTAGTCAATAAATAGAAAATCTTATCTTAAAATACTTATACCGAAAGTCCAAAACATCGTTTTTAAAATGCATGTTTTGATATTTATTTATTTTTAATTCTCTTTGATAGTAAACTGGAGCTTATACGTTAAATGTTTACATTTATATCCTTTGTAATATTGAATATTTAATATAAAAAAATCAATAAGTTTTTTATTCCATTATTTGTTGTTTGATTTTTAATACATAATAATTAGGTTGACATTGACTGTAACGTAGTTACGATGCAGTGTAGTAAAAAATAATGTTTAACTAATAATTTAAACTTCCTTTGTAAAATAACTACTCTGATTTTCACACACGTACATATTTCTTTTATGTAAAAATGTGAAATTAATTTATGCACTTTTATTGTTTTCACTGTAAAAAGTTTTTAAATTAATAATGTTGCATTTCGTCGTATAACCTAGTCAAACATATTTTAGGGTATAACTTTATAAGCCACAAAGCATTTAATTTAATTCTAAACACCACTTTATATACCGACAAAAATTTTAAAGTTTATTAAATGGATAAATCTGTTATATTTATGATATTTATGATATTTATGGTTTTTAAAACTGCCTTTTCAACGGATAACAATGAAATGTTAAATGCGTTAAAAACATTTTTTGTTCGGAGACACGTGCAAACCGTGACAGCTGCAAATACGTGTTGGCCATTTGGTAAGCATACATATCAATACAATACAAATTCGATACAATTATAATAATGTATGTACAGTATAGTATGTAAGCTTCACAATTTATGTATCAAAACGAAAGTGTCAAAAATTTACGAAATGTGTGTTTTCGTCACAGACGTCAATAAAAAACTTCTGGACGATCTCTCGTCGGCCGACATATCCGTGTCTTTCGGTCCGCCCGCCCGACAAACACAAAACTACTCCACGTGGTATAGATGCGCCTTTATAATCGATCTGTCCTGTGGAAATTCAACAGAAACATTACAGCAGGTAATTTTCTCCAGATAAATCTGACCGAATAAACGTCAAACTGGGTGATTACGGGTGCTCATATCAGAGTAAATGATGTAGGTACCTACCTACCATAATTATTATTGTACTGTCGTCGTTTTCAGACGTAAGTCGTGTGGCTTACACGTTACCCATACCAATATACATGTACCAAATATTTGAAAACATTCGACTCCTTCACCGTGTAGTTTGGCGTAAATGACTAGATTTACCTAAACAATATTATTTAATATGACAATAATAGAATTACATTTATATAAAAATTAAATTCTGAACACGATTCACACGAAACTTGTATTTAAATTTATAAGCCCATGTACAATTGTTGAGTTTTTAGTTATTTTATATAATATATATTTGCATCACAAACTTTGTAACAATAATAAAACCATGATTGACTTACAAATTATGTAAGTAGTTTACTAGTAAACTAGGTAATAAATTGCTAACATCATAGGTACCTGGCTAGTTATTCATGGTTACAACAATTTAAAATTGATATTAAGGTGTTATTAAAAAAAAAGCATGGTAACTTAAAGACGGTTAACTATTTATTTTAATTAAATAACATTTTGTTGTGAGATTACAAAACAATATTTAATCACCTAGCTAGGACTTAGAGCAATTTTATTTTTGATTGCACCCACATTGAGGGGTGTGTTCCGATGAATAGACATCAATGGCAGTCCATTTAACGGCTAAATTTTAGCCTATCCTAAATACAAAACCAATTTAAAATAAACTGTATAGTTTGCTTATAATTTGTTTAGTAAATATGTCCTAAATAACTTCATTCATAGTTGAACTAAGATGAGTTTTCAACCATTTTAAAGTCGAAAAACATATTTTGGGAGTATCTGTAGATACTGACATTGTAAATATTGATAACGGAAATATCACGATATTATTTAAAAAATTTGACAACTGAAGCGAAGAAAATGTTTACAAAATCCTTTGTATAGTATGATAAAATTTGTTTTTCTTGGTCATGTATAAACACAAAATTTAACATGTAGGTACGAGACACTAGTCAATTGGAGGGGTACGGATCCTCCCCCCGTAAACACGCCACTGCCTTCACGGCCATGTATATAATAATATGATTTTACTGATTTTACCGCTATAAATGTTTATTGTTTAATTACGTTTAACAATATATTATTATGACGGAAAAAATAACTATCGTTTTGTAATCGGATATAGATTTCAAACGATCGCCTGTTCAATACGCAAAACGATTGGGTACTGTTTGATCAGAGTTCGCTCTCGAATGAAATGACCTCAGCTCAGTTCGCATTGCGAACATTTCAAATATATTTGGCCAATGCCTATGTTCTACCGGACGCAGGTGTATTTTTATTCCTAGAGACCAACAATGATGTTTGGGAAATTTGGAGTGGTTTCCGGGCTAGTAAATTGGACTCGATAAGAGTGTTCGAATATGGGACGGCATCATCAAACCGGTTGACAGTTGTACGGGAATTACACGACGAGAGAAGAAATTTTCGCGGAATCACACTGAAATCTACAACAGTGGTTCGTAGACACCAACAATATGAATCTAAAATTAATATCTAAGGATTTTTTCGATTAGATAATTGACAGGGATCATTTTTTTGGATTTGATAAAAAAATTAGTTCCGACTTGGACGTATTCGCTCATATGCATTACGAAATGATCGTTACATTGACTTATCAACTTAATTTCAAGTAAGTATAAGGAATTCACAAATAAAAAATATATCTCTTATTAAACTAAGTTCTGACGTCAGATACATTTTAAAACTATTTTTAAAGGATAGATCTTACTATCGACAACGATTACGGATGGTCTCTGGGAAATGGTTCGTTCGGTGGTTTAACCGGACTTTTACAACGAGAAGCAGTCGATTTTAGTGCGACTGGAGTTTTTATTCGGCCAGATAGAATGTCAGTTATCGATTTCACAGTCGGCACAGTTGCACTGCGGTAAATCGCAGAACGCGTTAAAATTTACAAAATTACTTTAAACTGACAATAAATTCAATATTGTTTTTTTCTCAAACAGAACCACAGCAATTTTCAGGCAGCCTTCGTTGTCTAGTGTACACAACATTTTGTTGTTACCATTCACGCTTGGTGTATGGCTAGGCGTATGTGCAACTTTGTGTGTATTTGTGCTCACCTTGGTTTTTCTAATGCGAGTAAATAACTACATCGTAGAGCAAAATTATGGCACACTAAATATTCCGGAAATAGTGACCTTGGTCCACGGAGCTATATGCCAACAAGGTGAGTTTAATCACACGCTCCAGTCTAGGGATTACCCAAGAAAAATATGAATTTCTCACTAATAAACAAGAATGATATTCGTTATTTGTTATTAAAATATTTCTATCAGAAGACTTAATCCGATCGGCGAGTGTATACCAATTTCTACGATGCGAATTGTACAAATATCATACTCGGAATAGGCGTCGGTCGTTTTATGAGTTTTAGACATTAAAGATAAATAAGAAAAAACTAGCGAAAAATGAATTAAGAACCGTAAATTCAAGATTTCTAACTCCAATTCGAATTTTGTTATTTTTTCGTCATTCATAAAAATCTAAAACAGTATACACTACACCGAATACATGACTCACTACTATACTGAAGATAATGGAATTTCAAAATGTCTTATGATGGGTAATTTATAATAGATATTTTGGACTTTGAGGTTGTATTATATTAGTGGGGGACTTTATTTTTATCCTTTTAGATAAATAAGGTACTTATAATAATATTATTATATTATTTGAAAAATGCGATGACTTTATTAAAATTAACCTAACCTATTCACTCCGGTCCAAGGTTGGTTGGTAATGACTTAGGTATATAAGTTAACAGCCAATAATATTAATCAGTTACTATAATATTATAAGACTTATAATTGGAAAAACGAGTTTAAACTATACCTATACCTTATTACTTAAAACAAAACAAAAAAAAAACAGTGATTTTATATTTTCCGATATTTTTTGGTTACAGAATAACTTATTTCCATGAAACTTTGTTTTAAATTTTCAACCCTTAGCTATACACGTTTAAAATTTCAAAAAATTTAAACTAAACACTTATTTTTAAATTTTGAATGATAAGAATTTTGTCGAAATTTAAATTTTAAATGATTATAAAAAAAAATTGTGCATATCTATTTTTAATATTTTTCAACTGATATTAAAAATATATTTTAGGAGTCTTTTATTAAATTTTTCATCTTTTTGATTCAAGAAATACAATTTTATTGACAATTATAGAATACAAATTTAAATTTAAAAAGTCCAAAAACAGCTCAAAACAAGTCGAAATATTTTGAAAATGTTATGAAGTAAACATGTGGTGTAAATTTTAAGTATCTACTGTTATTCGTTTTTGAATTAACAACAAAACGAGAAAATCCCTATATGAGAAATGGAGCAAATATCCAATGTTGTAAACATTTCAACTTTTTTAGGGTTTAATTCAACTTCGACCTTGGGGTCCATACGTGTCGTCGTAACCATATTATTTTTAACATCTCTTTTCATATATACATCGTATTCTGCTTGTATTGCTGCCCTAGTTCAATCAAACAGTAATTCAATCAAGTCTATTCAAAATATAGCGGAATCGCCCATGACATTTAGTGCTCAAATCAGTCAATATGGAAAAGTTTATTTTGAAGTAAGTATATAGGTCCCATACTACCTATTAAAGTGAATAATATTATAGTAATATATTAATAATTAAACGTAATAAATATAGAATTCTTTAAAACAAATTAATGTTTAAAAATTTTATAAAGGTCTATTTAATTTTCTAATCATATCATAATACTTAAAGTTATATGAACTGTTAGTTGTAATTACTTTCTTTTGTCTTTTATTGTATTCTTTAATTATATACAAATTGTTATTACACTTTTGGGCCTTGCGCCCGTTATATATATAAAATAAATAAATAAATAAATAAATAAATAAATAAATAAATAATATGGTTATTTTATTTTCATTCTGAAAGAGTATTACACAGGTGACTATATATTGGGTAATTGTACAGGTGATTGCTTGATTAATAAATCAATCAATATTATTTATTATAATAATATGTTATTCTATGCCATTTCACACATATCTAAATTTAATTTAAATTGCATGTATGAACATCGAGTATTGAAAACAATTTTAAATCTTCCTATAAAACAAAAATAGTTAGAAATAAAGAAACGAATGGCTTTTATAGTACATTCGCCTAAACGTCTAGCAGCTATAATATAATACTCTACGTGATTGTAACATTAATAAAGTTTAATTTTAATTTTTAAAGTTTGACATCTATTTCAATATTTTATTATTGTTGCCTAAAACATCGAAATACATTATAACTTACCAAAAACTAACAAGTGACATTATTCGTTACAATAATTGACCATAAGATTTATATTTTGTGATATATAATACGCATCTATACACAAAAATTGATAGAAATTATGGTATAATTTTCAGGAAACAGAAGATGCAGAATTAAAGAAGCTTTATAGGACAAAAATGGTGCCAAGTGGAAAAAAAGCGTTCGTTAAAGCTGCGGAAGGAATGGAAAGAATTCGAACGGAGTTTCACGGATTTCAGGTTTTTTGTGATCTGTATTTGATTTTGTAGCAAAAATAAATGTTAATAATATAATTGTTACTGTATAGGTCGAAGTGATGTCGGCCTACAAGATTATCGGTAAAGAATGGCGCGAGGAGGAGAAATGTGGCTTGGGCGAGATTCAACTTTTCAAGATACCACTTTTGTCAATAGCTTTGGTCAAAAAATCAGGGCACAAAGACATATTTAAACAAAAGTATGCATACAAACCACCATTGTTGACGGGATATGATCCTCGTCCATTATCGAACATTATTATTATAAGTTTCCATTACATTATTCTATACGCTCAGGCTGATACAGCAAATGGAAGTCGGGCTGAGCAAACGAATCGCCAGCCAATGGATACCTCCGAAGCCATCGTGTGGATCGTCCAAACAATACGTCAGCGTCTCTGTTAAAGATACATATCTAACGCTCGCAATATTTGGATTCGGTGTTTGCATTTCATTGCTGATTTTTATATTGGAAGTATTACATCACGCCTGGACGAATCGCGGTTCGAAAAAAAATGCGTGGGAGTAAATATGCTAACGGTTTAAATACGTTTTGAAAATTATTACCATAATAGTTTCACGAGTCATAACCAGGGCTCGGGACTCATAGCATCTGCTTATTTTTTATGGTTTAACATAAGAATTGGCAGAGTGCTACGGAAGGGTACGTCATGTCACAACACGTTCAATTATGAAATTCGAAACTGCTTTTTTTTTTTGCTTTTTCGACGATTTAAAAAAAAATATGCTTATTTCCAGTTCTACCGATAATTTTTGCTTTCGTGCATATCTCTGCGATGACATAATATACTTCCTAGCGTAGATATAGGTGCCACTGACAAAAACCTAGAAATTTCAGTTGATTTTGTTCAAGATAAACCTAGAACTAAAAAAAAAATAATTTTTCTTCTTTACGTCATACTTAAAAGTAATGAGTACCTACCGGAGGAACTCGTATTTGCTCGCTCATCTATTAATTAGAAAAATGAATCAATTTTTTTCGATAATTAGAAAAATTTTCAGAAAATAGTTTAAACGTTTTATAAGTCTTAATTAATTTAACGATGAATTTTTTTTATGCCTTCGAAGTATACAAATGAAACATAATATAGAAAAAAATTGTGTTAATAATTTTTGTCGTGCTTTTTTCTGCTTATTTAAATATTTTAAGTGCTTATTTGAGTGTTTATAATGCGTTTTCAGAGCTTATTTTAAAGATTATAAGCGCTGAGTCCCGAATCCTGGTCATAACTGTTATAATTTTTGACTAATATTATGATCACGCTTACACTAAGAAATAAAACTATAATTATTTTTTAAATAAGTTGGATTCATTTATTTATCAAAATAATTGTCTTTTATAATATTATCGTTTATAATGTATTATAGTGATATATTTTCTATTATAATTTGCTACTTATCATAACAATGATACTAAAATATGCAAAACTAAAAAGTACCCAATGTTTTTTTTAAATGTATATTGCATAGTCTAAACAATATTATTCTAATATAAGTTAATATATTAGATCATAAAAAATTGAACACAAAATATAGCATGCGAATATTGTTTTAATGTATTATATCTAATTGTTTATTTTAATATTGGAGTTGAATTTAAAAAAATATATATTAATAATATAATAATTAGGATGTAGATAGGTTTTAGAAAACAATAAAATACTACCACTCTTTGTAGACTTCAGTCATGCTGGTTACATGAGTAACAGTCTAATATTATGTGCAGTTGTACAACCTGAAAAAAAATTTGTATAAGTTTTAATTAAGCTTGTTAATTTCATAATAATATTAAAGGAGCACACAACACAAATAAAAAAATTCTTTAAAATTTTTTCAATGTTAAATTATTGTAGTTATGGTTATATGAAATGATTTTGTGAAGATACGATGTAAAAAAAATATTACTTTAAGAGATATTAAGAGATGTAAAATAGCCGCGTGACGTCACTGAGCCGGAGTCATCGTAATTGCCTATCTTATACGTGTAAAAGTTCCTTGCTTCACACAACGATTTATCAAACTAAAAATTTTCTTTTTAAAATTTAATTGACGTATAAATGTGTGGTTTTATGTGTTTAAGACAATGCAAGAATCAGAATTTCAATATGACGTTTAGTTTTTTAAGTATTAAAAATCTTAAAACAGACATTTTGGTTAAACGGTGGACCCGTTGTTCGAACCCCACGCGCCGCTAGCCATGACGTGCGGTTTAACCAAAATGTCTCTTTTAAGATTTTTAATATTTAAAAAACTAAACATCGTATTGCAATTCTGATACTTGCATCGTCTTAAACACATAAAACCACATATTTATATGCAAATTAAATTTCAAAAATAAAATGTTTAGGTTGATAAATCATTGTGTGAAGCGAGGAACTTTTACACGTCGTATAAGATAGGCAATTACGATGACTCCCCGGCCCAGTGACGTCACACGTCTTTTTCAATTGCTCATAACTTATTGAATAATGTGAGTAGAAACGTAAAACCTATACCATTATCCTTAGAATTGAACATTCTTTCAAATAAAAAAAACTTATTTTTTGTGTTGTATGCTCCTTTAACTAGTCGGTCAACATAATGAATTCGAAAATTTAATTTTAAAAAAACATCAAATTAGACATAATTATCCTTTTACAAAGCTATTTTTATTTATCTATATTGGTACATGTTATAATATAAATCCATTTAACCATCACACAATTTAAAACCCTTTTTACATTTTTAGCAAATAATACAATATATATCGTTGTGTGTTATTTGTGACTTTTGTGTTTTGTTCAATAGTACCCATGTTTATTACAAAGTACAATAGGCAATAACTATTATTTATCAAATATATCATATTCGTACTAGTATTGTAGTATTTATAGTATGTAAAATTGGTATTTGCTATCTAAACACATTTAATATTTAAGAAGTAGTGGGCTGACAAATCACTAATTCTGTTAGATTTAACACGCAACTGCGGTCTATATATTATTTACTCGAATATTTAATATTCGTTCTATAGGTATATTTTTTTAGTAGAACTTGTGTACACCATTTATACGTTTTTATAAATACTAACTAATAAAAATGTTCATATTGAGTAAATTGTTTTTATTTCTTACAATAATGGGTGTAATCAATTGTGAAAATTATAGTGCTCACAATAATTTACTAAATGGCTTGTTAAACATGTTCAAGCATATGAGTGTACACACAGTTTCGACTACCACATGTTGGGACACAAGTAAGGCCACCTTATTATGTATACAAATTATCTTGTATTAAATACCATCTTTGAATCAATTACGTTCAAAAGTAATTTACCAAGTTTCCTGTAAAGCCTTAGATAAAAATATATATAGTATTTTATAAGATAAATCATAAACTATTTATGATTACTGCGAATTTTCTTCAAAATTATGCAATAGCTATAAACTCTACCAATATAAGTGTTCCTATTAAAATAGATTTTGTTTTATTAATACACATTTTCGTGTTTGCGTCGAATATAGGTATTAACAGAGAATTTCTTATGAAATTCTCAAGCGAAGACATATCGATCAATTTTGATTTTAGAAATATACAGGCGAGTGTACATCAAACGCCAAAAACATGGTTTAAATCAGGAATATTAGTTGACTTGTCATGTGATCAAGCTGTCGATGTACTTCAGCAGGTTAAGTTTATTGTAGCTATTATTTTTTAACAATTTATGGTATAATAACCTAATATAACGTATATATATATAATGTTTATAAGCTAGAATTGTGTACAGAGTTTCAAATGAAATATATAATGAAATAAATTAACTGTTACATCAATGGATGTTGGGCACTATTGTCTCGTTTCATTGATAAAGGGGGTCGATGAACACATTTAACAATAGGGACCAAGTTCTGGTAATAGTGTAAAAGTATCAAAAATAATTAAAATTGCTGTCAATAACTTTAGAAAATAAATATCGATCGACTGTTAGTTATGATAACCGATCACCCTATATAAATTTAAAATGATGACACGAATATATGACATCATCGTGGTATTCAACTGGTGCGGTAAAACACGAATGTATAAGTAAAGATATATAACTGAGAATCTAGAAGCGTGTGTCTATATTGCATTTGAAAAGTAATAAAAAATCAGATTTACACATTCACTGCATGGTCAAAACGACAATGTAATGTAAACCATAAGTCGTATGAGTACTTGCAGGTCGTAGTGTTATACTGATGAAATGAAATAATATAAATCCAACAAAATAAATACTTTAAAATATAATATATTGCGAATAAGCTAGTGTTATGTGTCATAATACAAACATTAAACTGCAGGCATCAAAAAGTCGCCTGTTCAACCTTCAAAACGACTGGGTTCTTTTCAATCGGCACGGAAATCCAAATAAAACGGAAGCCCTGGAAATTGCTTTACACTCGTTCAGAAAGCACATGAATCGAGCCTATGTGATGCCAGACTCGAGGGTGTACCTATTGATAGAGGTTGATAGAAATGTCTGGGAAATATGGAATGGTTTTCGCTTGAGTGTTACCGAAGAAGTTCAAGTGTCCCGAGTGGGCGTGATGACACCGGATCGAGTGGAAATTAAACGGAGCGTTCGGACGAACTTTAGGCGTGTCATCCTTTCGGCGTCCACGGTGGTAAGTCCAGTTCCAAAGGTTTTAATCAACAAAATAGGTAATATATATAGTTATACTAAATTTAATATAATTATCGGTAACTTAAGTACACAAGTTTAGTTCCACTGTTCCACACGATTATATTGTATAGGTAGTTTATACATGTTTATAAATATTATAATATAGCTTATACTACATAGATCATAGTGGGTAACCAACAATTCTATCATTTAGATCACTGCGGTCAGTCGCTAAACTGGTTAAAAATTAAATTAAATTAAAATTAACCCATTAACAACCTAAAATTTACACATTGTCAACATCCGCCCAACTACCTACTAACAGTTAATAATGAACACAAGTACTATTAGCATTACTATTACTATTTGCTCATTAAATTTATTATTTATTAATAATTGTATTTCACTTTCATATTACCCACCCTTAAATGTGAAAAAAATTCGAAAAGCAACTACTACAGCTTCTCGACGACCATGTGATTTCGGCACTGACTGCTGCAGTGGCCGAGTGAATAATATTATATATCATTATATTTCAATTATTGCCGACATTAATAAGAATTCAAATTGATAAAAATTACGAGCTTCTAATGTTGCGTGTTTATCAGATTCTAGAACCAAATAGCTTCCGAGGTTGGAATAAGCCTATACTTACTCACAATTTAGATGCATTTGCCCATATGCACTACGCCATTTGTATTGTGTTAGCAGAACAATTAAACTTCACGTCAGTATAACATTACTTGAGTTATTTCTAACAGCTATCGATTATAACGTTCGTTTGTGCTCGTAGACTAAACTTGACTTTTTCTGCCGATTACGGGTGGAATTACGGTAACGGGACGTACAGCGGTCTGATAGGACACCTGCAAAGAGAAGAAATTGACTTTACGGCTGCCGGTGGTCTGATGAGATCAGATCGAATGGACGTTGGTGAATTGACCGTCGGGACATTCGTAGCTCGGTAATGATTGACAACTTAATAGTGATCTGTTATATTTATCCTAAGCGAAAATATTGCACTCTGCGACAGAGGTGTACACGCTTCCAGAGATTTTATGGTGTTCTGATTCCGTTATTTTTTTTTTTTACTATATTATGAACGTGAACTTTGTCAACACTTACAGTTAGTATTAATTTATCCGAATACAAATTAAACTGTAAAAAATTATAAGTGCTATACACCTTCATCATATGATTGGTTAGGTACTATCACTGTCTGTAAACAATAGTAGAAGTACCACCACCGTGGCAGTTTGTACGCTCTACCTAGTAGGTACCTACTTTAGCTAAGTTTCTGTACTGATTTATGTGAATAAAAATGAATATTTTAGTAGGTTAATAGGTTATAGGTAATAGGTATATTATATATATATTAGCTATTATACTCTGTCCAACGATTGGACCGATGAACATCAGTTCCTGTGAGCAACTCCCAGCAATAATATAATGATGTATTTATAATATTATTTAAACTATTATATATTATATCCCCTTGCCATAGGGGAGGAACAAATTTCGATGCCAGGGTGACACGGTGGGATGCGCAGAGTCGAAGTGTTATCTCACAGGACAGGGAATATTGCCAATTGCCTACAGATACTCATTTATTGTATTGTAAATATTTAATCATTAAGTAGTGAGTATCATTACTTTAGCAAGTAGAGCATGTCAACATCCATTACGCCATTAAACGAACTTGAGAGTTATATTTTTTAAATTCTACCAATTTATTAGATTCTTGACATGCATTTTAAGATGATAAATTACTAATATTGAGATAATAATATTTGATATTAAAATTGCCATCCTTAGCGATTGTACAACTATTTAGATTTCTTCAACAAAATTCTGCACAATTTCAGCTAGCAAAATTATTACCATTTAAATTATTTTCAACCTTTTTACGTTTTCTTTTATATCTGGTAAACCTCGAACGAAAAATCAATTTGAATGTAGACTAACAACGCAGGTATTTACTTTGCTTAATATCTACTTTTTCTCTAAAATTCATCGTATTGAAGAGTTTACTGTGGATAGCTTATGGTCAAAACATAAAATGTGAGGCATGAAAATTAATTCCGTAGCAAGTGACTTAGGTAATATACGTTTAACCAATAGAATATAATATTGCTTGAAAATCATATCATACAATTAGTTTGATTGGTTTTTTACCAATTTACTGTGATTTCCGACAGTAGTAAGTTATACATCTCTATTCAGTACGTCGTGGATATTCGATATTTGCAATGAAAACAGTGCAGTCATAATTGTATGTTCACAGAACTGTTGCAATTTATAAACAGCCTCCTCTGTCCAGTGTCAACAACGTTTTTACCCTGCCGTTCGTGCTTAACGTCTGGATAGTGATGTTAGTCGTGATGTCAATATTTATCGTCACTCTGATATTTATCATATGGACGTCCAATTGGTTACGAGGTGTAGAAACACGACTCTCGATCGCACTAGATACGGTCACATTGGTCTTAGCCGCTATTTGTCAACAAGGTACCTATAAAATCAAAAGTCTTATTATATAATATTGATAATACATTGCATGAACAATATATTATTTTAACAGGTGCCACTCGGCAATGTTCCAAAAATTATTTATACACTTTCCGATGTTTTTTATGACCATCCGGCATCTGCCACTTGTGATTTTTCATGTATCGATAAATATTCAAAAACATCAAACAAACTCATTTAAAAATCATTAAAATAGTTTCAATATTTCGATGTTAGTTGTTTTATATTAGGTTATATCATAAAATTCTTAATTAAACAGGTAATGACAAACTTATATAGGTACCCTTTTTTCAATTTTTTCGAACCAGTACCACGCTACACCTATTAGATCTATTGAGATCTGCCCTATAATAAAACGTACATGTTAAAATAAATGTATTTCAAAAACATTTTTACTATTGTATGGTATTTTGTATAGACAATTTTGGAACAGTCCTTGTCGGGCTTATGAACCTTAGTTTCATGTAAATATCATGATTATTTTTTTAATATCAATTTTAATTCACTGTTAAGAATAGGCTCTTCGCGTAGGTATAAAGTATTAAAGTAAAAAGTATAAAGTATTTTCGCAGTATTTTTTTTGTTTATAAATGTATTATTAAAAATCTATTTAAGCACATCTAAGTATTTAGTTTGCGATTTGAACGAGTAAAAAAAAGACAAATACTGAATAAGTAATGTTATATATCGGTTACTGGTTAGTATTATAATATAAGGCCTGCGAACAGATGCGCATTGTAGATCAAATTAAATACAACAGGGAAAATGTTTTTTTTTATTCTGAAAATAACGCTCAACTACTGTTATCGAATAATTGCAGATGAGCAGATGATGTCATAGTTATTATAATAAAACCGTGTTATATTATATTATAATACTGACCGATTTTCCCATACCTATTCAGCATTCGTCTATTTTTACTAGTTCGCATCGTGTACTAAATACTTATATGCATTTTAATTTTTAATAAATCATTCGTAAACAAAAAAAAAAAAATACTGTGAACAGTCAATAATTTGAAAACAATAGTAGAACGTTACCTTCAGATTAAAAAAAAACAGAGTCCCTGTTGTTTTTAATTTGACCTACAATATCTGTTCGCAGGCTTGTCGGTGACGGCTGCCCAATACTCAGGCCCAACGCGGTTGGCCACATTCACGCTGTTCCTGTGTGCAGCATTCTTGTTCACGTCGTACGCGGCTTGCATCGTAGTTATGCTCCAGTCTCCAAGCCAGACGATCAACACCATCGGAGACTTGGCAGACAACCCGATTACGTTTAGTGCACAGGACACTAAACACAATTACATATACTTCAATGTAGGTTACCTGCCCAAAAAAATAATGTCATTATTGATTATTATAATTTATTATGACATCGTGACCTGATAGTATTATTATAACATTGTCAACTAAGTATATGTATATATTTATGTTATGATTTTGATACACGTGCACAGGGTTGGCCTGGAAGAACAATTCAGGCCGGGTAAATGCATGATCCAAGCCAAATCTCAAAGTTTACGTTATAGGCGTAACAAGGTGGGTTGCGGGGAAAGGGCTGATTAGGTATGTGTTATTTACCCCCTCCCCTCCCTCTCATACCCATAGTATTTTTATTATTATTTATAAATCTAAACTTTTAGTTTATCAAGCAGATGACCACCATAATAAAACATTCCTTAAATCAGTATCAATATTTTAGTGTAAACCCTCTCAATTTGAAATGCGTATATTATATGCTTGTCTATATTATGTATTCTCTCGGATTTTTTTTTTGTAAAATGTCAACTATAAATTTTTTAAATGCAATTATAAGTAAGTGATACTATATACCTGAAGCTTTTATAAAAGTTCATAATTTATACTCTTAAGAGAAATGGACCAGACATTATCTGTATTCATATATCAGATGAGCATTTAAACGATTCAAATCACGCTATATTATATAAATACTCAAAAGTTTTGATACGGCCAATATTTTTTGAAATTCATCAAAAAAAATAAAATCTATTTTGTCAAACACTGGTTTTGGCGTTTTGCATAAAAGATTTCCTGTATTATTTTATTTGTTTTCTCGACGCTTTCGAAAACTACTTGATATTTTCAATTTTGACTTCTGTAATGCGTCAACAAGATAATTATATAATTGCGTATATTTCAAATAAATACAGTGTGCACGATTACACATGTTTGATTACAGGAAACGGTCGATGAAAATATTAAAAAAATCTATCTCGAAAAGATGAAACCACATGGTGCAATGGCGTTTACGAGTCCGGAAATAGGCGTAGAACGGGTTCGAAATGAATTTCATTCGTATTTGGTGAGTTATAGTTATATACGATTGTTTAATACTAAAAAAGTCGTAATGCGTGTCATATATGTTATATACAGTAATTTAAGGGTAATTTTTAGGTGGAAATCACATTAGCATATCATATAATAGCTAAAACATGGCAAGAGCATGAAAAATGTAGCTTATCTGAAACAGAGTTATATAAAATACCACTTCTTACGTTATATGTCGTAAAAAAATCAGGATACAAAGATTTATTTAAACAAAAGTATGTATTCAAGCATAAAGGAACATTCTAAGCACTTAGGTACCTTGTTAGTAAATTCAAAAACTTTACGTAAAAAAAAGATCAACAATAAAACTATATAATATTAATAACAATATTAAGTATATTTCAGGTTTTCAAAATCTATACACAGAGTGATTCATCATGCATGTTCACCAATATTTTTCATTTAATACCTAATGAATTTATTCAAATTCTGATTTTTAGAATTTGTGATTATACTTAAAAACCATTTTTTAAATTCTTAGGATAAAAGAGTGACCTGTGACGATACAAATTTCCGTTTTTCAAATGAGATCATCTTTTAAAATGTTGATGAACCTAATTTCAAATTTGAATGAGTAGTTTTCAGTTATTAAAACTAAAAGTTCCATACAATGAAACAATGAATAGTAATCCTTAAAAAAGGTTTTATAAAAATATTTAAAATAGATGTAATATTTGATCTAGTATTTATATTATACTTTTACCATGTTTACAAGTTACAAAATATGTTAGATTAATATTAATACCTAACTAAAATTGACCATAGAACCGTATCGCTCGAAACCATTATCATGGTTCATGGACCGATTATCCTTAGTGCATAGAGTTAAATAACTCAAAAACGATTCGTTTGAATTCTGATATTGATACAATAATACGTCAACATAATCAAAAAAATTATTCAATAAATCAAACTTCAATACATTTATCATTAAATTAAAAATTGAGATAAGCATGCTTGTGAATCATCCTGTATTATTTAAAACTTATATAGATTTATAAAACCCAATTATCTTAATAAATTTAAGCGTTTACGGTTGACGTTCCACTAAATATTTACGATAGCATATTTACCATTCCAGGATGATACAACAACACGAAATCGGCTTAAAAGATCGAATCACCAAGAAAATAATGCCACAGAAGCAAAAGTGTGATTCAGCCCACTCTGGCGTAGTACGCTTCGACAGCGTGTCCATGAAGGAAATCTATCCAGCATTATTATTTCTGGGTTATGGCATCTTTACTTCTTGGTTATTATTGTTATTTGAACACATTTATAAGACCCACGTAGATAAACAAAATACATAATAATATTATTATCAAAACAACTTGACTGCCATGAGATTCTTTTGAGATCTTGCAGGACATTAACTCTCTGCTACCGGTTTCAAAAAACTTTCACAAAATGAAAGGGTACTTTTTTCAATTCTTTGACTTCAAAATTGTACACATACAATATTAGCACATAAATGTAGATTTTTCATTGGTGTTTGGATTTTTTCAACTTGAGATCTCGTATAAAATCTCGTAGCAGTGTAAATTTTTTGGTCGTTATCAAAATATCCCTTAAACTGAGATTCCAAATGAAATCTCAAAAATATTCATTGCGCTTTTCACCTTTTAGATATAACCATATCCATTTACAAATTTATTATATCATTTACGATAGTTCATAATTTTAAAATACATATAATGACTTTTAACAAACATTTTCCTTTAGTATAAACCTGCTGTTTAAGAACTTAAAATAAATTTAAAGTTTAAAATGAATTAAAGTTTTTTTTTAAATTGAATTTCAATTTCAAAATAATTTTAACGACATAGGTATGACAAGCTAGTCTAGTATAACAAACATTTTATAAATTCAAGTTAGTAGAGTACAATTTCAAAAATCAATTCGTATTGGGGCAGAACGAAAATGCTTTAATATCAATAACTGTCTAAAAATAAGTCATAAAGTAATATAGACTATTACATACATATATAATAACATGACATTGTAGATGGGTACACTATACAGCATATAATTATTACCTAGTAAGTTATTTTAATAATATTATATAATTATACGATTACCCAATTTTATACAATTACAATATTTGTACAGAAATATAACACATTAATGTCGTTACGATTAACCTCGTTGATCATCAGAAAAAAAATGTATTCATAGTACTATATTATAATTAAATCGACAAATTCGTTCGGATTCAATCTTGACTCTCTACGATTAACGTCCTGTAGTTCAAATCAGCGTTAACGTAGTTAGGATCATTTTCATACGAGTTTGACACAGTGCTACATGTACTGTTTGTACATACACTTGATCCTTTACATTAAAAGCACACAACAGTTAATAAATAATTTGCCCATCTGTATTATCCCAGCCAATATTATAATATCCAGAACCAGTTTAAATTAGTTCATAATTTTTTAAAGAAATTTAATAAATTCATATTTTGTTTGAATCAACTTATATTTGTGATTAACTTTGAATTTAAAAAAAAAAAACTTTAATTTTCATAAAATGCATATTTCCAATAATTATATAGAGTCATAAAAAATTGATACCATAATATTATACCAACAATATGTTGATTTTATCGGCGATGGTGATTATATTATCTACCTATTAGATTCGATTAATTTCTAAGCTATTTTTTGTTATTAGTTACTAGTTATTGTTTTTATTACGACTATAAATATAGATTTATAAAGGTGCACAACTAGTGTACTTGGCCAATATTTGTCACTGATGAATGATGATATGAATAATGAATGATATTGATCAACTTGGTCTTTGCTCGTACACGACTGTTGTGTATTTACGCAAGTATTATCATTGTCCAGCACTGGTATAGACATGCCATGGTAAGTAATTGTATATTTGTACACCTATTCCCACACGAGTTGTGCAGCTTATCAGTCAATAAGTTCATCAGCCTCTCTCAATTAATTGAATTAATCAGTCAGTTCAAAATGGACCCGAACAGAAGAAAGTCGTTGCTGTTGTAAGCTGTGTTAGTTTAAGCAACAAAAACGTAAAAGAGGATGGTAGATTCCACAATGGCGCAAGCTGGATTTTTCAAGATGGGGGGAGGTAAACCTCATAAATTATAAAAAAAAACATATGAACCGACAATCCACCGGTACGTGCCAGTGACCAACAATAATTGTACATGCAAAGTTTCCCATACGACTAGCGCATTATCGCCAGTAACAAAATAAATGTTGGCCAAGGACACCAGTCGTGGCACATACCTAGGTAGTAAAATTAAAGTTACAAATGTCCAATGATCTTTTTAGTATTTTGATATGGAATATTTTTCATATCCAAATGCATTCATTTTATTTATACCCTAATATACCTAAATAAAATTGTAATTTATTTTTATATCACATTTTACATTATTCACTGTGTGAGCTCCAAAGAGTTAATAAGTAATAAATAAAAAAAATGTGTTATTCTAATATTATTAATAAAAATTTAATTTGTCAGCACTACTAAGGTTAAAAGTCCATGTTATTGTGTGAATATTCTTTTTAATTAAAATTATTTAAGTAAGAACGTAGTAGCTACTAAGTAGTTATAGTATATATATTAATATTATATATATAAATATGTATAAACATACTTATTATAACACTTAATTTACTTGAAAATAAAATATTGTTCATTTTTAAAAAAAAGAACTTAAAAGTTAGCATTTTCTAATGAACTTCTAAATAAACGAGATAATTTTGAGGGGGCTAAAAGCCCGGCTTAAAAAAATCGTTTTACTTATGAACATTCCAAGATCTGGATATATTATCGTTATACTAACTCTCATCGCTGATATCGCCTTCCTCGCCAGAGCTATCTTTACGAAAAACTGAGGACACTTTTGTTTTGGCCCACGTGACCGCGCGTTTTCGTTTCCCAATCTTCTTTGCTGGTCTTCTGTAGATTGGTAATTTCACAACGTTCGTCTCCGTTGCATCCGAAGAACTATCTCTACAGAAAGCCCGTTTGTTTGCTGTTTACATCGGTGTAACGAGATTATGAGTTAAACATTAAACGCATACTTTTCTTCACTGATGTCTGTTATATCTCCATAATGAATAGGTTTGCTGCATAAAGTGCATACGTTATCAATGTCCGTGAAACATTTTGAACAATACACACCTTTACAGTTGTCATTGGCACACAGCACTATTTCGCCTGATTTGAAATCTCTTCCTTTTGCTTTGTAACCACATAACAGGCATACTGTCTGCTTTTTACGACTCCAGATGCGATCCAAAAACGGATACCTTTAAGAATATCTTTCATTGAATATTTTAATAACATATAAAAAATAATAAACCTATTAATAATACTATTTATACGGAACGCACTCTATAAAATATATTAGTTGAATAATATTTTTGGATTTATCGTACAAGAATTTATAATTTAAACACTGACTTGGAATAGATAAAATCCATGAAGGATGTGCCTGTAGCACCTTCTCCTCCACCCAAGCCGAATTTTCTGCGCAGAAATCGTCTTGCGAATTTGACAAAACTGATTCTCCTGCGGATTATGTGGTTATGCAGCCATACCGCTCTTGTGCTAGCCACGTCTGGGTGATAATATCCCATAACGTAAGACCGAAACCTCAAACCGTACGGTTGCATAATAGCCAGAAACCACGTCAAAGTTAACACAATAACTACAGAATACAAAAATAATAATAATTTAATACGATCGAAAATGAACACTCTACGTCGTCTCGAGTCTATGATGTATTTTAATGGGTATATTTTATTAATGTCGTGTTCCGATGTTCGTTCTTAAATGAAAGCACGACGAACAAAAAAATTAAACAGTATTGCTTATTAGGATGATGGTTATCACATATTAAAGTGGAATGTTTCTGTATTAATTAAATATTATAAATTATAATAACTGACTTCTAAGTGATAATAGCTCATACAAATAATAATAGTTGAGAATTTATTGAAAACGTAAGCTTGTTTAGGTATATTATTTATTCGACTTATTTTTTTTACTATTTTTCCGAATTATTTATTTGTATGTTCAAGTTTTCAAGTTTTCAACCGTTGGTACCTAAACTCCTTCATAATAATATTATCATAAAACGTATAGTAATTAGTAAACAAGTGATAATTGTTTTCATCCATTCTACGCCCATGGTCAATTAATCAATTATTCAACTAACTCTAATGATATAGATTCTCATTTTTAAGATATTGTAATTTGTTTATTACTTATCCGCCGATAGCAATCGTAGTTTGGTGGCCAGGGATTTGGCAAGCAACTCATTGTGTCCATGTTCATTTCCTTCGCCACCGGCTTAAACGTTTGAATTATAGTTTTATAAAGGTCTGCTAGTACTCCATCGCCGTCGATGTTCACATCGATCATTCTTGGTGCTACGAAATTTATATGATATATATGACAAATTAATAACTTACAGTTCACACAATAGCCTTATTGTTTTTACGATCGAGTTGTGACGACAGTCGTCCATATTTTCTGACAGTGATCAATATCCAATAAAGACTGTAATCCACAGCCATTTGTATGAGTATCTTAAATGTCGCCAATAATAGTATGGCCAATGACCGGAACAACGCTTTTTTTTCTCTCAGTATCAAATGAGCAGATGTTCGCTAATTTATAATGTTGACAACAAATTATTAATTATATTGAATTACTTAAAAGTTCAACAAATGTACACAGATACAAATGTTAATTTGTCAAACATGATATTTGTAAGTTTTTTTTCATTTAATATATTATATTAAAATTGAAAGTAACTAAGAGTTCGCAAAACGCACATCATGGTATAAAAACAAATATAAAATATAAATGTAATCAAAACTTTAAATGAGTAGTGAGTAGCTAACACGAGACTAAACAACTTTCAATCGTTATTCACATTTCAAAAAATAATCGAATAAACATAATATATTGAATGGTTAAAGATTTTATGAAATGTTGAATATTATATAATATTTATATAATAGCCATTGTTGATATTATTTTAATGTGATTATTTATTCACTATGATAATATATTATATTATTATATAAAGAAATATATAATAAAATAGTGTATGTAGTTGATTCTTGGATGAGTTATTGTGTTCTACCTTCTACACTATTAAATTCATTTAAAACATGTGTTTCACGTTGACATTGGAACTTACGAAAATATACGTCTATAATAATTTATACATTTCAAATACAAATGCGAAAACTGAAAAGCTGAAAACATCTAACACAATATATTACTCATATCCAGTGTGTAACAGAAAGAAATGACTATGTAACCAACTATAATATAAAATGGCTTTATATTATTAATATTTTTAACTGTTATTTAATAGTTATGATAAATGATGATTAATAATTATATTATATACCTACTAAAAAGTTAAGAAAGAAAATATTATAGGGAAAATATGAATTAAGTTTGTCGGTTATTTCTATTACACCCTGTGTATATAAAAAGTAGAAACTGAGAAACCTCAATGAATTTATTTTTTTCTACTCTAGTCAGCGGCATAATGGTCGGTCGATCGAGGATCTGTTTTCGTTCGTCTAGCTCGTATAATTCCTTTGTCAAATATTTGTTATCAAACGAATCAACCGTCAAATACTTTTGTCTGTATCGTAACACCCTGTGAAGATAATATTTTAAGTGGGGCACGTTTTAAGGGACCACCGATTACAAAACACTCACTTCACAAACACGTACAGAAAGAAGAACGAAAAAATCGACCCAGCCCAGTCAAACAACAGTACGACATTTTCGATCTTGTACTTGATTTCAGTAATGATACCGCGAATGATATCACTGCTCAGTTTGCTCGGTGTCGACTCAAATGCAAACGAATGTTTGAACTCGATGGATACGTAAAACATATTTTTCATGTGCCGTACGTAACTCTTCAAGCCTGAAAACAGTCGAGTTTTGATTGGCTAATATTATATGAATTGGCGGTACCTAATGGTGGTATATAGAAATAGGTGTTCATAAAGTTTTTCATCAAAGCTCACTGTTTCGAATGGCCCCAAAAATAGATTCGTTTATGAATTCAAAAAATTCACAAAGGCTGTCCAGAAACTTAACCGTGTAGCATACATTTGAAATCACGTACGATATCGAACACATAAAATCGAAAGCAGGCGGCACTGTCACCTGTGTAAACCCTGTGTTAGTTATTTTTTATTGTTTCAGTAGCCATACAAATTATTTTTACACCACTAAAATTTGTATTTTCATTTATTATAAATATTATTTAGTATTTATAATCAATGGTATTACTGTTTACTTTACACTCCTCCAAAGCGTCGTCAAACATTTTCGCGCACCTCTGAAATGGCGTGCCGACTTTTTTGTTGCAAATGTTCATTATACTGTACAGCCATTCATACGCTGACTTAATTGTTCGTACTATGTATACAAATTAAGACATACATATAATATTTTATAACATGTGTATTTTTATCACCCTAGTGTTAGGTGTAGCAATGTTGAAATGTTTTAGTTAAAACTAACAACAGAAGGTAACTTTATCTAACTAATTTTAAAAAAAATCAAAAAGATTAATAAGATTAGGTACTATATGTATTGACGGATCAAACATTTCACAAATAAACAATTCACGAAAAAGATACGAGCATAGTTTATAATATCATTACGATCATATTTTTTGTGTGTGCGACTCACGATACCTACACAAATTAATAATAAACACCCTCACCTAACTCGATTACGGTATTCTTTACGGCCAACATTCCTTTTTTCATTTTATTTATTATAACAGCTAGGTCTGCCTTTATGCGCGTTATAGACGATCGGATGGCCAGTAGTGGCTTTTTTATTATTTCAACTATTTGTCGTATGGCCGATTTTATTTCGTCCTGAAACGTTCCATTCGGATATATCAATATGGGTACATTGTTATTATTGATAGGAATTATTTTTGTGCTGACGATTCACACCTGCAAGCAAGTGAGCGATTCCGATAAGACTCCGGTGTTGTGTAATGTAGTCTTGGAAGGTCCAGAAAATGATAAAATGAACGCGTACATAAGTAGCGCGTGTCGACCCTTATCCGAAAATAACTGCGGCAAGACCATCATAAAAATACATCTAAAACATTGAAAATATAAAGCTATATATTTGTTTAGGGTTAGGAGAAGTAGGTGATTTTGATTGTTAATCGGGCTGAAAGTTAAAGTAGAATTTGTTATTATGCATGCATACAAATATACGCAATAATATATTATAGGATTAAGTTCGATCCTCGATGCTGAAGTGTAACATATATGTTATTAAATTAAGTATATCTTCAACTTATGTAAGTTATATAGGTATATTTAATCAATAATGTATATTAGAAGTTCCAAACTCACCTGCACATCGGAGAAAATGCCAATCCTAATGTTAGTACGCCTCCAACTGCCGAACTTATTACTGTGGCCTTTGTGTAAGAATAATTTAATTGCAATAACAGAAACATGAACATTCCCATGGTCAATATAATGCCACCTAAAATGTACGAATTGTAGTCAGACAAGGGAAAACTAGATACATCGAAAACTGTATGCAACAAATTGTGCTAATTATGCATTATAATGAAAAAAATACACTTTATAAAATCATTGATACATCAAAACAATTTACTCATAAATCCTAGTAAAGATTTTAATAGAAAGTTAGCAAACGTCCCGTTGGTTTCTAAAATTTTCTTAATTTTTGCCCATTTTATCATTCTTTTGTTATCTTTATTTACACCAAACCATTTTTCCATCCAAATACACCATACTAAACTAAACAAGTAGGTAACAATAGCTATTCAGTTGCGATTTTACCAAAATAAAAACAATAACAAATAATTACTTAAGCAATACGTTGATGAAACGATCGAAAATTGAATATTTAGGTGTGTTTCCTTTTAATTTTTCCAATGCATAGATTTTTCGTCTCAAATAACTTTTGAATATCATTTTCAACAATAATGTACGAAAAACACGAAAAATAAACATAATGACTTTTTTTTATACTTTGTATCAGTTTGTACAACTTTTCAGTATAGATTAACAGAAAACAAAGCATAACAGTAAATTATCAGGACACACAAAAAAAAAATTACGATAATTACTAAATTACTGACTAGCAAAATATAATAATATAAACACTGAAATATAGAGAAAGTACATAATTTAAATAATATATGAAAATTATTGTTGATAGCAATAAATACAAATTTGGAAATAGGTAGAATAATTTGCATAGTAACAAATGTATATTATAATATTATGTATTAGGTACATAATATGATTTACTTATACCTATCTTTTTAAACCAACAACCTTCCATGTTATTTCGTATCAGATTTGTCTGTACAGTGTACACTTACTATCCCACCAAATATTTATTTTTTAACTATAAATTGAACATTACTACGAATATTATATTAGTTAAATCACACATGGTTTAAAAATATTGCTTAAATTAAAAATATTTTTTAGCAAGGTTATTTATTAGGTAACTAGGTAAGTTACAGTACTAATTCACTCAATTACTACCTACATTAACTAGAACCTAAACGTAGAATTTGTATTTTTTTAAAGCACAACCTAATTTTTTTTTTAAATTCAGAAACATAGCCACTGCAGGAACAAACAAACCAAAAGGTTTATGAATAATTGTATTTTCCAAATAGGTATAAAATTATTTTTCAACGATTTGTATAGTGCGCCATCTATCAGACATTTTTGATGCTACACATACGAAAAATCAAATGAATAATAATAGTAATAATAAATAATAAAAAATCATAAAAATGTAATATTTTATGATAAATGATAATCGTTATTATAATATAGTTGTATGACACTTTAATTGATTTATTTAGTTTATTAATACTAATATACAAAAAACGAAATATTATGCCTATCCAAAATTATAAAATTATAACGATTTAGTAAAAATTAATAAACATCTGATTGCTTGACATTGATAACAACTCCAGTGATAATAGTTTTTAAAGTCAATTCCATCGGCAATACTTTTCAAGACGTTTTGATTCGACAATTTAAGACTTCTTATGGTTTGATTTTTGTCAAAATGAACAAATTTTTTCCATTCAATAAATTTGTCACTGGCTTTAACATCATCAAAGCCAACGGTGGACCATTAAACGCCTTAAAAAAATTATTCAGGTGAGTTTTTTACATTTAAAGAATATAGTTTTCCTGGCTAATTTTTAGCCATTTCCTCAAAACTAATCTTACTATAGAACAATATTATTGAGATAAACTTCAATCATTTATCAGTATAAGTTTAAAACTGAATAAATTCATTGTTGTTTATCGCTATAAAGTGCTATTGAGCAATATTTATGTCCGTCTGTAAATACTATAGCCCATACAACAGTGATGTCCAACTCTATAGTATAGATCATTTTAAATGAAAATTGGTAATTTTAATGGATGTGCATCTATTAATTGTACACAATACTACATTTTATATCATTAACTACTCAGATTTGAAATATTTGAAAAACAACTGGTATTAAATTCTTACTATCGTGTATCTTGTTATCTAGTTGATCATTCTTCAAGTTTTATTAGTATCATTATTTATTATAGCTGTTTTATAATCAAACAAAAACTTATTCATAAACATTCCATAACCAGGTGATTTTCACATATTTACTTACAAGTAGGTTTTATTTTTATTAATAAAAACATAGTGGTAGGACCAATCATATTCATACTATTTTCATTATAATAATATGTTTTGTAAATATTTAAGCTGATATCTTTTAACACCTTTTGTAATTAACTATCATGCCAAAACTTCTGGAGTTCTACCTATATTTTGCATTTAATTATATTTTAGGGTTTACTTAAATCATTATTGTGCTATCACTAACGAGTGAAGACAGGACTGACCATTTATTTTTATGGTAATGATAATATGTTCTTTATAACGAATTAAATAGTTTTTCCTTTTTTTTTTTATCTGGAAAACTTATAATTTGTACTTAACCCGTCATTGCTCGCGTGTATAATTTGGACACCGTTACTACTTAGAGTGATTCGCTCACCTAGTATATTTTACCATAAATGTTATATTTTATGAACAAATGATCGATAAATCATAAAATAAACCAATTTTGAATATTCTTTATTAATATATTGAAAAAAAAATGAAAATAATTATACTGACTTGTGTGCTATGAAATGTGAACCATATAAACCATATGAACGCGAAATTCAAACGCTGTTACTCGCGCGTAGAGGGATTCGCTCACAAAACGAGACTAGTTCAATTCGGATTGCAATAGGTGTCGCTATCGGAACGCAATCGTGCCAGTCAATTGATAAATCTATTTTTTAAATAGTTCGTCATAAGGTACTATGAATTTGGGAAAAATACAACAACACACAAGCCAGTGGTTAAAAACCTATAAACTATGTGAGGGAAATTCTCACACGCGAGCAATGACGAGGTAATCTTAATAGCACAGACACAATATGTAGGTTAGGGAAATCATGAATATAATATAATAACAGATTGAAATATTGACATCGAGAAAAGATATCATTTGATAAACCTTTTATAAAAAATAGTTAAAATTAATATTATTAAATTGTGATAAAAATATGTTAGGAAAACAAAATTAATACTTTATTTTAAAATATAAAATAAATTAAAAATAAACCGGTGTAGTTTTTTTATTGCATAATATTTATACTGCATAATTTTTAAACATTTTTTTAGTAATTAATTTTTTGATGATTATTAAATTGTTAACTTTTTTTTTACAGACAAGATGAATTGAAAATTGGTACATTAGTCGGTACTGATGAAATGGGCAATCGTTATTATGAAAACAATATGTATTTTTATGGTAATTATCTATCAATTGATGGTAGTATTTTTTTCTTTTGTACGAACGTTATTTAATTCAGTTTGTTATTTTAGGACGTAATCGTTGGGTAGAGTACAATGACCAAGTTTATTTGAATTATGATGCAAGTCAAATTCCTGCCGAATGGTATGGTTGGATCCATTACAAAACGGACCTTCTTCCATATAATGTAACTACCTATAGTTAAATAATTGAATATAGTAAAAATGGCAGGTTTTTAATTAAAATTACTTAATTTGTTATAAAAAGTATGTTTATAAAAATACTATTTTTTATTATCATATGATATAAACTAACATGCTTCGTGTTTCATGAACACTAAATAAACAGATAAATTATTACAATATCACAAAAAGTTATAACTTAAAACAAATATTTAGGTTTATTTTACATAAAAAAATTAAAAATTAAAATATATTAAATTAAAAATTATAGGTTTATGATAAAAACTAACATACATAGAGTAAGAACATGAAAAGCATAATTATTGATGAATATAATATGACGCATTATTTAAAAATAATAATTTTAGCCATTGATCTTACACTAATAATAGTATAAGATCAAATATAAATACTATATGACACTAAACTCCATTAGCAAAGGAATCGGTAATTAGTTTATAAGAGCTCAGATAATTTAAAAGTCCAGAGTATAATATTAAACACTATTATAAACAATAAAGTAGTGACAATAATTTTAATAAGCTTAATGAGAAAAATTACATAATATGCAGAATTTTTTCAAGGTGGGGATCAGTTAACTTTAACAATATCATTCTGAATAGAGATAAATAATGAATAACAATTGAAAAAAGTCTGTGTGTGAACCCAATATAAAAGTTAAATGTATTTTATTGTCCTCTTTTACCCCTTAATAACCTACCTTATACTAAATCTTACTACAACCCATAATACTATCCAGTTATAGCCGTTTTGCCCTTTTATATATAAATATATAACCAAATAGATTTAGTAGGATACAAACATTTTTAAGCCCCTCACAATTTTTTTGGACCAAGAAATAATTCCAGTGAATACTGTTAACATTTTTTTTCTTTCAATTTTGTTGTTAATATTACAAAATCTTTAGTTTTTATAATTAGTTCTTAAATGATTAAATAACAGTTTTTGGTTCAAGCCATATATTTATTTTCTTATATTCTAAAAATAATATAATTTTAAGCTAAACCATTAATTAATAATGTATTTATTTATATATATGTTATAGTCAAAGTGTATAATTGGACGTTGTAGTAAAATGCCCAATTTCAATGGACAATGTGGACAATTATACACTTTGCCCAGGCATTGTACAGGATGACCAGAGCACAGCTAGCAATTTCAATTAATTAATTAAAAACATATAAAACAATTTTTGTTGTCTTATTAATTTACAATAATTTATTTTATGACTATTAATAAATTTTTTAATTTATTTTTGCAACTTAAGCTATCGAGACATTTTAAAAGTACATGATTAACCTGCAGCCCTACACTTACATTTATATGCCTTGCATTGCTGTTTATAGTTACACCGGTCATATCCTTGACTGCCAAGGTTTGAAAATTTTCTAGCCGCTTCTCTTAATGATATTAGAGATTTTATTGGTATTGTTTCAATCCGAACAAAGAACTCTTTGCATGTATCAAATTTATTTCTAGTGTAAAGTTGTTGAAGTTTACCTTCAGTGGTACCAATTTCCTAATTATGGTTTTTTGTTGAAAAAAAGCAGGCGGCATCGCGATAAACTTACATTGCCCACAAACAACTTTGCATTGTACGCAATACCCGGCTATTGTATTACAATGCCCAGCTGTTATATACAATGACCAGGCAATGTACCCAAATTAAAAGCAGATTCAGCTTTTCCCAAATATGACGAGCATTGTATTATTATACACTGTATTAATGCCCGGGCACTGTATTACAATGTCTGAATTATACACTTTGACTGTAACATATATACAAAACGACTTTGAAGTCTAGTAAATAGGGTACAGTGGTACGTATAACATAATATAATATACAGCATAACAATACAACAATATTAAAACAACAAGTATGAGCTTAACCAATTTGTATATTAAAGAAAGATGAATCCTCATTTGCTAGTTTCATTAATCAATTAATTGGTTCATTTACATATAATTGGTTAAGCAGAGGAAATATTGTGAAAGAGTAATACGTGAGGCCACTTTAAAATTAACAAGTGAAAGAAGAGGATATGCTTATAGTTTGTTATAAATATTTATTTTTAATTAATGTTTCTTTCAGGATCCAAACAGACCAAAGTACAAGTGGATGGCCAAACATACAGAAAACGAAACTGGTACAGAACGCCAATATGTACCTTACAGTACAATGCCACCAAAAATCCAAGCTTGGGTACCACCAAATAAGAATTAAATTATGTGGTACTATTTAGTGTAAATACATATTAAAAACAAATTGTTATTAATTTCATTTTTAAATTAGTTAAACAAATATTGAATTTCAAATAAATATACCGTAAATTTATATTAATAAATACAATAGATATCACCTTTTTTGCTTATACTAAATCATTTTAGTTTAAAATAATTTGATTGTACCTATATTATTCACAGATATACTATGCAGCCATAAATGTTAATTATAAAATGAAGAGTACCATTTTTTACCAGTAATTTTTAGAAAGCATTAAAAAAAACAATGTAAAGAAATGTAACAAAACTTATTGTTTCATTCAGAAATATTTTATCAATTTATCATTTAATTTATATTGTTTTTGGTAGAAATTAACTATACTAATTAAAATGAAGTAACTAAGACTATGCTCAACCACAGTTCGCATCCCATTTCCATTTTGAGGGGTTTGATCCCTGCTATATTATAAACCAAAATATACTTTATACCAATATTGTACCTGCTATCATAGTTATCCCATTAATGAATAAAACTTCTGAACACACCTTTGAAATGAATTTTAAAATGTTAGAAAATTGTTTTCATCTAAAAACTTTGACAATATAATTTTCAAATGATTGATTCTTTTAGACAAACAAAATAACTAATATTTGTAAAACACATTGTTGACATTTGAGTGCAGTTAAGGCAGTGCTCCACGATTATTTTTAGACTAATTCAGTCACACACTCAAATAATCACTAAAAAAAAATAAAGAAAATTGTCTACAATAAAATCTTTAAAAACAGTCTGTATTGAATCTGTATGTCATGGTAAAAAATCTTTTTATAATAATATTAGAACATCACTAATTAATCAATAGTGCAATAATTATAAGAAGAACTTATCATCTATACTGATTTTATCTCAATTCTAAGGAATTTTTATTAGTATGAATACCAGTACCTATATGGGTCTTAATAACATATTAATTTTTATAAAAAATCATGCAGAATGTTTTATTATGTACCTTTTTTTTCTTCTTTTTATTCAATTATTAATTTATACTTATCTAGTTATCTACATTATCTTTTGTTTATTATACACGTCCAAACCACAATTGATAATAGATAGGTACCAACTTATCAAATTAATAAATCCCTTAAATTTGGTTTTATGATTTTAAATAGTCGGACAATTTAGGGTCCCACGCGTGACCACCGTTATCTGTTTTTCAACTTAAATTGCACATTGGCTAAATATTGTTCCTTAAAAAGACACACTTGCAGCCTGCAGGTCTCTTACATAAAAGAATAGGTACGCTGAATCATAACACAAAATCTAAAAACACTCTTACGGTCGCGGAACGTCCAAGATTCGTCGTCCAGTTGTCGACTGTGTGTCAACAGTGTCGTGACTCGTGATATTAACACGGATATTTCGATAATAGGTATTTCCGATTATTCTAATGGATCTAACGTCTGTACAGTGGTATTTCCATAAATTAAATTTGTACAGTCGCTATATAGCTAGTGTAAAGTGTAAACAACTTATTAGTAACACACTAATATGTACGATTCTTGCAAGTATATTATCTATAAGCTATACTTTATGCCACCGATTTCTACATAGAACTATACAAGTATTGTGGAAGTCTGTACCCTACACTTCTGCGGTCTACATAGTTTATACTAAACTTTAAGTACAACTCCAACACAATCGGTAACGACGATTTTATAAATGTGATAAGTCTGACATTTTGCAGGCTGGGTCACGTTTTTTACCAAATTTGCCGACTGACAAAAGCATATTTGGGAGTAAGCACCTCCCTACCACTCTCCCAGTTTTCAGAACGCCACCACCTACTTATAATATAAAAGGACTGGTACAAATTTTAAATTAATCATTGTTATTTTAGTAGGTATGGTATAGAATAGTACCTACGCCAACAATTAGTGTATTTTTTACTTTATTATTCTGTCGAAAGTTAACCAAATTATTTTACATTTTACTAAATACTATGTCAAAAACCAAAAGTAATTATAAATTTAATGTAACTTTAAATTTATATTTTACTAAATATTGTATTGAAATATGTAATACTTAAAACAAATTTTATCATAAGTGTGTGTGAATGTGTGATATATTTTCGTGTTTTAATTAATTGTATCCAATAAATATGATAGAATTAAGCAATGTCAAAAGATAATGGTCGTTTTTCAATCCATGCTTTAATTTTGGGTACTGCCAAAACCTTTTCTCGGAGAGCTTGTAAGTTTGGACGATCTTTCAACAAGTCAACATTTACTCTATAAATTAAGTGGTCCAAAACACCTACAACGAATAAATCAGCCCAAGATAACTGAAACAAAAATAAATCGCGGTAAGTACAATTAGGTTAACACTTAATCACCATAATAAAAACATATTAGTATTATTGTATTGTTATTTGAATAGTGAATACATTGATTTAATTGGGTTCTAACTAATCTAAATTATATACATTCAAGTTTATAAGTTATATGCTTTAAAACATTAACATCAATATTGTGATAGTATTGGTTATATTGGTAGACTGTTAAAATTAAGTCGTGTTGGTGAATAATTATAATAATATTATTTAAAATTGAAATGAGTAATTATTTATTTTTGTATATAATTCAATAAAATTATTATAAATCATGCTTAACCCTATGGTTAAATATAATAGATGTTTTGAGTGTTTTGACTTTATAATATACACCAAGAAATTAAAAATAATACGGTAACGTTGTTACAAAATTACTGAACAATTATTGTGTAGGTACAACGGTACATATATAATTAAATATAGATTATAGGGATAATTAAATCATTTAGATATAGGTAGGTACAAGGTACGTCATATTATCTACCTTTCCGTTTACGAAGTATCCATTATTTTCACGGACAATGTTCTCAAACTTATCCATATGATATGGAATTGTTTCATTGACCAACGTAACATACCTTGCAGCTTTAGATTCTTCATTTGGATCAAACCAATACGATTTTAAACCTTTAAAAATAATATTATACACTTTAAACGGTTCTTTCAGTATACTCTACATATAAATTTTAGTTTTTAGACAATGACTCGTACTTACATTGACCAAAATCTTTAAAATTGTCAACTGCAATATCTATCAATAAAGATTCCCAATCATCGCTGCCAGCTAAATTCGCCTTTTTAGCTAAATAGCGACAGATGGCCGAAGATTGATTCAATACTTTGCCGTCGATTTCCAACAACGGGAGTGTACCAAACGGCATTGCTAAGAAAACATAGCTACTTATATTACATAAAAACTATTTGATTTGGCCTGCATGATGTCTTGTATTTTAGTGTGTATTAAGAACGAACAGCTAGTAGGATGAAATTTTAACAAAATGGTTTTTAAACAATTTGAAAGTAGCACAGTCACTGTTTTTTTTTTTTTAATGTACCTAGGCTGTAATTTAAAAAAATGAATCAACTTTTTTTTAAGTTAATATTTTTCTCCATAGGTACTATAGAAATTTTAACTTTTTGAGTAAAATATTATATTTTTTGGTAATTTGTAACTTTACGTTTTGAATATTTTCTTAAGTTTAATTAGGTACTCAAGATTATTTTTTTCAATAATTTAACCACTTTTGAAAAATATGACCGACAAAAGCATATACATAATTACATTAATAACTATACAAACAAAAATGTTAAGAATACCCTGAATACCCACAACTAAATTAATTTAAATTGGATATAACTGTATACTTATAGACAATATGATTCGTAACAACATTTTAAATGACTTACTGTGTTTGACTGATGGCCATTGTTCAAGTTCGATACGGTTATCTTCGAAATCAATATCCAAATATGAAAGCAGGAATCGGATGGGTTCGCCCAGTGCAGTGAAGTTGAAGTATGTTAATTTGTAAGTCATGATTAAGACTTAACTCAACTGTAACATGGACAATTTTTTTAGACTAAAAATGTTGTTTCATAGTACAATAAATTAAGCAATACACAGTGAATTTTCATATAAGCGGCTATAACAGCTGAAAGACGGTGGTCTAACCATGTGTAATAATAACTAAAGAGTTTATTATAAACTTACAATCAAATGACAGAATTTATTGTAAAATATGATAAAGTAGCTAACTTAACACAAAAACAAATGTATAAATTATTGTTAAATTGACGACAGACGTACACCAAATGCGCGTTTGGAACCTCTAACTCTCAACAACCGACCATCATAATATTAGACCGGTCGCCGACAGAATAAATATTTACAAGAATTCTCAATTTTCTACCAGAGTGATTTTTATGTTCAAGGCCGAGTATAGGAGTGGGAATGTTGAGCCGGAAGATCGCTGATGAGTGTCGCGCGTAAGATTGTGTGTTGTTATTTACTTGTGCTTATTATTTTAATGGACTCTCGTAGGTAGGTAGGTACTTACCTAGAGGTCAAAATTAAAATGTACCATCCACAATAAGAATAAGAAAAATTATGGTAACAGTGGCGTGACGTATGACGCGTACGGTGTACCTGTATTGAATACATTTTGATCATTATACATTACCTATTATATTATATGATTTATTGATTATTATATTGGCTTAAATTTTTGGCGCCGGCGTAACTCCTACGAGGCGTGGCGGTTTGTTACGACGACTCGCACCGGCACGGGACTAGGGTGTTATTATAAATGTTAAAAAAACAACAACGCTGAAAATACATGAATATTATAAACAGCACAAGGCTTTATGATGTTGATGTATAATGCACAACTAGGTAATCAATAATAATAACAACAGTATCGGTGGGCGCCCTCCACGCAAAATGATACACTTAAGTAACAGGTATAGGTACAATAAATAGACTACAGCTCAGTAGAAATTACAAATAATTACACAATTCAATCGGTGTACGGTGTACGATTTATACGGATATAAGCATATTATAATTATACAAAATGTAAGATGTAACGATACCACAACGTCCACAACAATCAGACTATACCGACGATGGTGATAACAGCCGCGTATTATGATATGACGACAGCTGCGGGGACACTATCACTCGGCGGTTGACAGCTGTTGATGAGTATCCATAGCCTTCTGTAGGTACCACAGACTAAGATATATTATGTATATATTATAAATCCTCTATCTTAGTCCGTGATAAGTACCTATACTACTATACAAGCAGTGGTCGAAATGGCTCAAGATAAGTGGAGGGATGCCTTACAATTCAGATTTAGGCCTATACGAAAAATAAAAAGTTTTCTTATACAATAGGTATAAATATAAAAATCATAATAATTATTTCATTTTAAAACACAAGTCTTAGGAGGAATGCGTTATTCTAGACAAAATAAGTGAAGGGATGAAAAATGTAAATACAAAAAAGTAGAGGGATGTCATCCCTCCGTATCCCCCCCCCCCCCACTTCGACCACTGTATACAAGCAATGAGTGTATCAGTGTATGGAAACCGAAACAACATATAGAGGGCGTTTTTTGATCACTCGATTACTCTTACGAACAGCAATGCGGGGTAGCGGCCATCAAGGTATATAAATATATTATAGATTATTGTATTTTTTTTTTTCGTAAAGATGGCCTACATCGGCTACATCACTGCGAGATGTCGTTACGCCGCTCGTAATGCTATTTTTACACACAGTTGTCAGTTATTCTTATCCAGTAGTAAAAAGTTCTATGATGAGTATACGGCGGAGGAGGCGGCAGGCCAATGACCTCACGGCAACGCGAACGGCGGTAATTCGCAATGACATTATATGATATTATACAAGAGTTGACGACTATTGACGATCGCCACGACGCTCGGCGGATATAACACAATATAATATGAATAATATGACATTTGCGACGATTACTGGCAATTTAATATTGCACTTTGGACAGCGGCGACTTCGACGACTAATAATAATTGCAATGCGGACGAGAATCAGGAAAAGACAATTTCAGAGTTTGTAGGTGATTGTCGCGCCTGGATGTCAACACCAACTAGCGGCACGCATGATGTATAGGTGGTGCCGTGGCGGTTATATCCAGAGGAACTCTATACCAGGTGTATAATAGGTCTCGATAACACAGTACCACACGCTTTGGAAACGCGCCGCGACAACCACCATGTTTACAACCCTCCCTTTCACCCCCCCCCTAACACTTTCGAGGACGACCAGGCTGTCTCGTAGTTTTTGGGCACGTGCGAGAGGGAGTCGAAAGTTGTAGATCTTGCGTTATGGCGCGCATCTTTTGTGAGGTACTGATTAGGTATAAAAATGGCGGCAACTTGAAAATAATATACTTTTTGATTGTGATGTCCACTGTAGATCAGGTTCTCGCGAATATAAATTATGAATTTAAAAAAATATTTAACCTTCATATTTGTAATTAATGAATAGGTAAATAATATTATGCTAATATGCTTAGTATTTAAGTATAGATGTATAGTATAGCTTTAAGAGCATTGATGTTAGTGATATCTCAGACCGTGATTCGTTTGTTTTTTTGACTCGGTAGACGAGAACCTTTGAACGTGAACGGCAGTGACATCTATCGCTAAATTTTGAATTGTTCTGTACACTCTTACTCTCGCAATATCACAACAACCAACACTCACTTTTTAACTAGATGACGCAATAGGTATAAAATAGCTTCAATTTTCAACTTCAACATCTTTGCTGGTAGAAAAGGGAATCTTAAATTTTTGGGTTGTGAGAGGGGGGAGTAAAAGTAAGAAATTCCCAGTCCTTTATTTAATAATTAAAAAAAAATAGGAAAAGGATAATCTTTTAAACTCAAAAGTAGGAAGTCGTTCTAAAGGGAAATAAATGCCAATTTATTTTCAGAAGTCTTATGTAATCAATAGATCTATCAGTTATAAGTATACAAAAAAATTAATTTTTGAGGGCAAAACAAAATCGTTCGCTGTACAACGAATAATGATACATGACGTATTAACGTGGATGCGTGTGTTAGAGTGTGTTACTATAGTCACTACGGCGCTATATATACGACCCAATACACTCTCTACTCACATTATTGCCTATACTGAACTACTCTATACTAATAGCTGTAATTAAATAGTTTGGCTGAATTATGTAAATTTTCAAAAAAATTTATTTTTCCCACATGCTAAACGTTAATTTGATGAAAATTAAAATTGTGACTAAAACAATCTTGCGCAGATATCATCGATCGTCGTAAATTATATTCAGAATACAAATCGGTGTAATCATTGCGACGCACTATTTAAAACAAAATAAGTGGGAAGTTTTTTACTACATAAAAAAGTGGAGTGGAGTAGGACTCACGTTCAATGGCCGTGCGAAACGTGGTCGAAACGTTGTGGATGGTACCTATAGGTATAGTATTTTTTTCCTCGATCCTCTACTAACTACTAAGGTTATTGGCTTACAATGTGTATTTGTAATATTATACCAAAATATAAGTTTAATAAATATTGTCAAACCGATTTCAAACCCATGAGCAGTATGAAATCAAAACAACAGCGTGACACGGTGAATACGAGCAGTGTGTGAAATCATAAATCGAGACCTGCACACTAATCCATGCTGGGTTTATCGACCACTCTTATATATTTTGGTATATTATTTTATCGTTTGAAATAAGTGCCGTTCATCATTGAGACAGTCGAATCACACGTGTATTTCATGACGTCTCGAATTCGTATTGAATTTTATCAATATGCACCTATACTGATTACTGACTATAACGGACGCTAGCAGCGAAAACGACGCCTTCGAAATCACAGGTCTTTATGGAATAGAAATCCGCGGGACAACACCTAGCCGGCGGCAGCGATCACAAGCTAAGTGTGACTATGTACAAATTATGGGTATAATAATATATTATGTTGGTTCTCATGCCACACAACCAGCGAGTACAGAGTGCCCGAGTTGAGTAGTAGCTATTGTAATAATTTTGTATTATGTCATATCATATTACTATTGAATATTGTTAAATCGGCCGGAATCAATATATGAGATTTCAATAAATAATAAACTGAGAAATGATCCACCGTCGAAGATAGAATCTAACTTAATTTTATTTGTTAAATATTGAACTAGGGAAATGCCCGTGTTTACCCACGCACATAGGCCATATTGTATCTGTGTTGTTAAAATTCGAGAGATGCCTACACTCTATCCCGAATGAGAACATCAGTAGTCGGCGCGGCCGATTAGTGTGGTCATAGACCGTTTGGGAGAAGTGACCAAAAATGTGGTCGGTTTGAACGATTGGGCGAGTGTTTATTTCACGAAAAATACTGTTTGGGCGAATAAGTACGAATAGCTTATAGGTAAATTAATTTATGCATTGTTATGTTGTATAGTAATGTACATCGTTAATTGATAAATAAAGCCACGTACGACGTACATAATAGATATAATAATTAATAATGAACCCTGTTTTTAAAAACGCTTGCATCAAAGTCATCATGTTTTTATATTGCTAGGTAAATATAATTTCACTCTTTCAAACAGTATAATAATTGATAGTTGCCTTAACAGACTATATGTTTTTTGGACAAAACTATTACCTTTACCCAAACGACCACCGTCTATTCTCATCGGACTTCCGTTTCAATAGCCATCTTAAATCGAATAATTGTATATTGTACATTGATGAACTACTATAGTAATCGGGTATGAGTCGCTTTACTTTGGATGATGCCAGTCTTACCCTTCCCCCACAAAAAAAAAAACAAATGTCAACAAAATTCAACCAAATGCCTGCCGATGCAAGTTTGAAATCAGCTGTACATGGCTGTTTGCTTTGATGATAAACTCAAGTTTCAACAGAGGGTAAATTCAAACTACCGATAAAATAATAAAAAAAAAAGCTTGCTTAAATTATGGAAAGCCGACAAAAATGACTAAATAAAACCAAAAAACGTCTTCGAACCAAACCGTCGAATGTCAATGATATTGTGTAATGTACCTATGTATGAATATTTTTGAGCTGTTCCAATAAAATATATTACACGCATTTTATAAGGCAACTGCAGTCATCTTGGAATAATCGTCTCCCGTGGTTAACCAATCATAGCTATAGGATGACCATCTATAGACTCTAAGGATATCATCACTCAGATTTTATACAATAAACACCTATGTCATACAAAATTGTAAAATACCTACTTATTTTAAATACCTATTTACAAGAAAATGTATACCTATATAATTATTGCACTACTTATATTATACATGTTTTAAATTAATAATCCAACGAATTCAACAACGAAAATTGATAGCATACTGAAAATAATTTAAATTAGGTACTTTAACGGTGTGCAATAACTATTATTTATGTTTCTTAAGAACTTTGCACGCCGCAATCTATTGTCTTGGTTAATCCCACGCACATCGTATACAACAATAAAATGTATAGCAATATGCTGAGCGCCCTATTTTTAACACTGAAATATTGGAGGTTATATCTATTATTGTCATTTGTTATGAAATATCTATTTTAAAGAAATCTTTTTTTTTTAAATTATTGTTTGTATCTTACAAATTTGTTGGTTTTATCATTGTTAAGCTGTAGGTACAAGGTATCTATCAATATTTCATCACATTTAATTGTTATTTGATCCTTTTAATATAAATACTTATAAAAAGGTATGATGTGTAGATACTACAGGTATGCTATGCATTTAATAACAACATATCACACCATTATATTACACAAACATCTCTCTACAATGGTAGACAACTCGATGCATGTTATTCAAATAAAATAACTTCAAATCATGTTCATAAACAGAGAAAATAAAAAGAGAAATTTCAATAATTTTACTGTAGTGCAAGGCGTTCTTCAATCCATAGTAAACCTATGTGGCAGAAGGTTGCTTTATTGCATTATAGGCCATTATCAGTTGCATACATATTAAATGTATAATGTATATAACACATATTATTATGTTATAATAATATAATACATAATATGTACAGTTTGTTACATGCAACCTGCAGTTTCG